GTAGCTGGGATTACAGGCACGCGCCACCATGCCCAGCTAATTTTTTGTATTTTTAGTAGAGGCGGGGTTTCACCTTGTTGACCAGGATGGTCTCGATATCTTGACCTTGTGATCCACCCGCCTCAGCCTCCCAAAGATGATTATTTTTTGTTTTTTGAGACGAAGTCTTGCTCTGTCACCCAGGCTAGAGTGCAGTGGCCAATCTTGGCTCACTGCAACCTCTGTCTCCCTGATTCAAGCGATTCTCCTGCCTCAGCCTCCTGAGTAGCTGGGACTACAGGTACCTGACACCACAACTGTCTAATTTTTGTATTTTTAGTACAGATGGGGTTTCACTATGTTGGCCAGGCTGGTCTCGAACTCCTGACCACAGGTGATTCACCCACCTCAGCCTCCCAAAATGCTGGGATTATAGCCATAAGCCACCATGCCCAGCCTGATAATTGTTTTTTAAAGGAGAGGGGCAGAAGAACGTTCCATAAGCTCATGCCTGAAGTGAGCATGGGCAAAGACATACAAATCTGCTGTTAGTCTCTTAGTTGGTTTCCACTCTTGGTGCCTTGCATTGAGGGAGTGTTTAAAATACATCTTTTTTCCAAAAATGCCTTCTAAATGCAAGTCAATTTTATTAGCTGGTACTTAACAGAAGAAAGCATAATCTATTCCCCTGCTGAAGACAAGAAATGTGGCTTTTTGTTTTTTCTTGGAGATGGGGCCTTGCTATGTTGTCCATGCTAGGGTGCAGTGGCTATTCACACATCCAAACACAGGGCATCACATCCTGGAACTCCTGGCCTCAAGCAATCCTCCCACCCCAGCCTCCTGAGCAGCTTGGACTACAGGTGCATGCCACTGTGCTCGGCTAAGAAATGAGTTTTGTTGTTGTGGGATTTCTGGAAACACAGTTTGTTAGATTTTAACATAACAATAACATCTTCCTAAGAGATTTTCTTCCTTTTTTTTTTTTTTTTTTTTTTTGAGACAGAGTCTCACTCTGTTGCCCAGGCTGGAGTGCAATGGCGCAATCTCAGCTCACTGCAGCCTCTGCCTCCCAGGTTCAAGTGATTCTCCTGCCTTAGCCTTCCAAGTAGCTGGGATTACAGGTATGCGCCACCACCCGACTAATTTTTGTATTTTTAGTAGAGACAGGGTTTCACCATGTTGGCCAGGCTGGTCTTGAAATCCTGACCTCAAGTGATCCACCCACCCCGGCTTCCCCAAGTGCTGGGATTACAGGCATGAGCCACCATACCCAGGTTTCCTTAAGAGATTTTTAAGGGTAATTTGGACTATGCTCAATATTACCTTATACATGGCCCTATATAATCTGAACAGTTTTTTAGAAACTATACTAAAATAGGATGACCCAGGAGAGCTACCAGAAACAAGAGACCAGGTAAGAGGCTGTTCTTTCTATAACAGGAAATAAGTAGGAATGGTGGTTATAGGGCTGGGAAGGTATAGGTGTCAGATATCACAAAGAAATACTCAACAGAGCTTGGACATGAATTAAAGATGAGAGTCAAAAAAAAAAAAAAAAAAAAGGAAGAGGTCACTGCTGTCAAATTTTAAGCTTGGATAACTTGGAGAATGGTGAAACGAAGAGCAGAAGTGAGTCGGGAGGAAGACCTAATTTCTGGGAGGAGGATCTGAGGAGTCTAACTGCACACAATTTGAGTTTCAGGGGCTGGTGATTCATGCAGGTACAGAAGATTCACAGCCACCAGGAAATGCAAGGCTAGAGTTGGCAGGGAGGCCAGCACTAGAAATGGTGCAGAGATGATGGCTGAAATCATGAGAACAGATACAGTCTGTGAAAGAACAGTAGAAACAAGAGATACCTGGCTGGGCACGATGGCTTACACCTGTAACCCCAGCATTTTGAGAGGCTGAGGCGGGTATTTTTTTGTATTAGCCCAGCTAATACAAAAAATTAGCTGGGCATGATGGCAGGAGCCTGTAATCCCAGCTACTCAGGAGGCTGAGGCAGGAGAATGGCTTGAACCCGGGAGGTGGAGGTTGCAGTGAGCCAAGATCGCGCAATTGTGCTCCAGTCTAGACGACAAGAGCGAGACTCCATCTCACGAGAGAGAGAGAGAGAGAGAGAGAGAGAGAGAGAGACAGACCTAGGGCAGAACCATGAAACGCGGTCCCAGTTAAGGATGGGACTGAAGCATGAGAGGGCCAAGGATGCAGAGAAGAACCATGTCGGGGGCAGGAGCAAACCTGCCCTCTTTTAAGCCATCCTTGGTGTTGATGGCGAATGATCTTCCCAATTCTAGTCAAGTCATTCCCATGCTTTACAAACTACCTAGAGAATGAAGTCCAAATTCCTTAGGATGATGGCAAGACCTCCCCCACTGCCCCGCATTCCATGTCCGGCTGCCTCTGCAAGCCATCCCAAGCAGACTGGCACTTTCACCTCTCCCAACATTTTCCCCAACTATGCCTCTGCTGGGAAGCTCCTTTGCTACGCGGCACATTTCTACTCATCCTCTGCTGTCCCACGTTCTTCACACCTCCTCTGCATAGCCCCTCACAGCTACCCACCTCAGGTGGAAATAATTGGGTCCTTCAGCTTGCCCACAGCTACTCTGATGTTGCTCTTTTAAAATCATTATCACTTTGTCTTATTACATATGACTTCTTTTTTTTTTTTAGATGGAGTCTCAATCTGTCGCCAGGCCAGAGTGCAGTGGCTCGATCTTGGCTCACTGCAACCTCCACCTCCCAGGCTCAAGCAATTATCCTGCCTCAGCCTCCCAGTAGCTGGGACTACAGGTGCACACCACCATGCCCACATAATTTTTGTATTTTTAGTAGAAATGGGGTTTCACTATGTTGGCCAGGATGGTCTCCATCTCTTGATCTTGTGATCTGCCCGCCTTGGCCTCCCAAAGTGCTGGGCTTACAGGCATGAGTCACTGCACCCGGCCACATATGACTTCTTTCCGAATGAAGCCTGAGATCAAGCAATCCAGAGTAGGCAAGCAAAAAAAAAAAAAAAAAAAAAGCCAACAAGAAAGCAGACAGAAGAGAGCAGAAGCCAAGGGAAAGATAGGTCCATGGACAGAGGAGAAGGAGGGGTCAGATCAGAGGCTAAGGTAGAAGTGAGCAATGCTGGAGCACAGTACCACTACCAGGAGACGCGGGAGTGGGTAACAGTTTGGGCGACACTGATGGTAGCTGGTGGGAAAGGCTTCTAGAAGCTTCCAGAAGCTCTGCCCTGGTGTTGGCACACTAGTCTTCTGTCCTGGGATTTGATAACATAATTGTCTGATTCACTTTGGCTTTTCTTCCTTTGACTTTTCCAGATTCCGTCACAGCTCCGAGACTCCAAGTAAAAGCTGTGTCCAAACGTCTTACAGGATGCTCCCAGGAACTGCTTGATCCTCGTTTTTGAAACTTCAAGTGCTGGCTAAGTAAGGGGATGTATTTATTAGTCCATTCTCAAAGGGTTATAAAGAAATGCCTGCGATTGGGTAATTTATAAAGAAAAGAGGTTGAATTGGCTCACGGTTCTGCAGGCTGCCCAGCAAGCATGGCTGTGGAGGCCTCAGGACGGTAAGGGCAGGTGAAGCGGGAGGAGGCACTTGCTTTGTCACTCAGGCTGGAGTGCAGTGGCACAATCATTGCTCACTTCAGCCTCCAACTCTTGGCCTCAAGTGATCCTCTTGCCTTAGCCTCCCAAAGTGCTGGGATCACAGGTGTGAGCCACTGCACCTGGCAACTACTTTATAATTTCTGAAGCCAACATATAAACAAATGCAATAAAAGTTATCTAAATAAGTGGCTCTTTTTAGAAATAGTTTGGAGAAAATAATTCAATACCTCTTATTTATAGTTTTGTAATGTTCTTTTTAAATGCTTCTTACAATATCTTGAAAGTTAAGATCTTTCAAAGAAAAATTTTGAAAAGTGTCCTGGCCTGAAGTCATCATGTTTTAGAAATCAAATTTTTAAAACATCTTAAAAACCTGTGTCTTTAGTATGCAATATTTAAACATTGCCTGCAGTTCCAGAATAACAGTAACCCTAACGATAGATATGATTGAAAAAGGTGGCCAGGTCCAAAAGAGAGACTGCTTTGGGGGAAAATGGCAATCCCATTGTTCCGCATAAACCGCTGGCTTTTCATTAGCCTGAGTGAGAGGCTTGAGAACAGGGAAGTATCCAAAGGGAATTTCTCAGTTGATAATCCCCTGGCAGAGAGGTTGAGTTAGGTGCGTCTCCCTTGATACGGTTTGGATCTGTGTCCCCGTCCAAATCTCATGCGGAGTTGTAACCCCCAGTATTGGAGCTGGGGTCTGGGTGGTGACTGGATCATGGGGGCGGTTTCCCATGGTTTGGCACTGTCCCCCTTTGCCCCTTTGTTACTGACATCCAGTGGTTTAAAGGTGCGTGGCCCCGCCCCCTTCTCTCGCTTGCTCCCGCTTCACCTGCCCTTACCGTCCTGCGGCCTCCACAGCCATGCTTGCTGGGCAGCCTGCAGAACCGTGAGCCAATTCAACCTCTTTTCTTTATAAATTACCCAATCGCAGGCATTTCTTTATAACCCTTTGAGAATGGACTAATAAATACATCCCCTTACTTAGCCAGCACTTGAAGTTTCAAAAACGAGGATCAAGCAGTTCCTGGGAGCATCCTGTAAGACGTTTGGACACAGCTTTTACTTGGAGTCTTGGAGCTGTGACGGAATCTGGAAAAGTCAAAGGAAGAAAAGCCAAAGTGAATCAGACAATTATGTTATCAAATCCCAGGACAGAAGACTAGTGTGCCAACACCAGGGCAGAGCTTCTGGAAGCTTCTAGAAGCCTTTCCCACCAGCTACCATCAGTGTCGCCCAAACTGTTACCCACTCCCGCGTCTCCTGGTAGTGGTACTGTGCTCCAGCATTGCTCACTTCTACCTTAGCCTCTGATCTGACCCCTCCTTCTCCTCTGTCCATGGACCTATCTTTCCCTTGGCTTCTGCTCTCTTCTGTCTGCTTTCTTGTTGGCTTTTTTTTTTGCTTGCCTACTCTGGATTGCTTGATCTCAGTCTTCATTCGGAAAGAAGTCATATGTGGCTGGGTGCAGTGGCTCATGGTGATGATTTGAAAACTGCAGGAGGGCAGTGCAGGCTGCCTGGGTGTCTGGCTAAAGCTGCTGAGTGAAGAGGGAGCCATCTCTGACACGGGGAAGAGTGGGGAGGAACAGACTTTGGGTGAAGGAATCATGAGCCTGATTACAGACATCTTAAGATGTACTCATGAACAGTCAGATTTTGCTGATCTGGGACACACTGGGTTTCTTTAGGTGATTTTGCTCATCTCTCTTCTGAGGTGTATCAATTTTATTCCTTATTTCCAAATGATCAGAGTAATGATCACAGATTTAGATGTCAGTTTCTTGACCCTCATATAGTTTCTATACCAAAGAAATTCCACACTAAATTTCTTAATGTACTAACAAATTTTGCTCTAGATTTTTTAAAGTCAGTTTTTTAAAAGTTCAAACATCTTGATTCACAGGACCAATTTTATCAATGGAACTGAAGTAATAAGAAAGATATGGCTGATCTCTGCCCTCCAGTTCCTGGCACAGAGCTTGCAAAACTCTCGGGTTTTCTGAGCGATCAGGCTGAGAAGTGTTTTTTGTTAATAAGCACCTTTCAACCATACCTGAATTTCTGCTGATGAGGTGACTCTTGGAGGATGGGGGTTGGGAGCCAGAGGAACAAACCATGTGATTAGAGTAACTTTCAGTCCCAACCCCCAGCCTCCAGAGAGAAAAGTGGGGCTGAGGATTGAGCTAACTGCCAATGATGTAAAGTCAAAAGGTTTGGGGTTTTTGGTTGGTGAACATATTGAGGTGCAGGGAGGGTGGTGGGCCTGGAGAAGGCATGGAAGCGCCCACGCTGCCCCCCTCATACCTTGCCCTGTGTACCTCTTCCATTTGGCTGTTCACGTGTATCCAATATAACAAATCAGTAATAGCAAATAAAGGGTTTCCCTGAATTGTGTGAGCCATTCTTGCAAACTATCAAACATGAGGAGGCAGGGGGTGATGGGACCCCTGAGTTACAGCCAATCAGTCAGAAGTACAGAAGATCCTGACTTGCAACTGGCATCTGAAAAGGGAGCTGTCTTGTGAGACTGAGCCCTTAACCTCTACAGTCTGTGTAAACTCCAGGAAGTTAGTGTCAGATGTGAATTGCAGGATCCCTCCCCACTCCAGCTGATATATGGAAAGCTGGAGAATTGATTGGTATGGGGGAAAACTCCACATATCTGGTATCAGAACTCTTGTGAATAAAAACAGATCATAGTAAGAGCTTAGCTACTCGGACAAGTCTGAGTAGCTAAGACTTGCCCGAGTAATTCAAAATGATATTTCAACCTCAAATTCAAAATGATATTAAACTGCCATGGGAGAACACCATTCTGAATTGTTTCTGTGGAAAAACCTATAAAGTCTCACTAGGAACTCCGTAGGCTGCATGGGCCAGCATAGTAACCACTAGCTACATGTAGCTATTGGAATTTAAATTAATTAACACTAAATGTGAAGCTCAGCTCCTCAGGCACACTAGTCTTGTTTCAAGTGCTCAGTAGCAACATGAGGTTACTGACTACCATACTGGCAGCACACAGAACATTCTGGAACGTCATCACAGAATGTTCTATCGGACCGTGTCAAGCTAACTGTAAGGTTCTCAAGGAAGGAAAAGCCTAGGTGAGTGGATGGTACTAAAAAAGGAGTGTGGGGAGAAAGAGATGCAATCAGAGAAACACAGCCATGTCAGCTAGGCCATAGCAGGAGACTGCATTTCATTTTAGGACAAAGCGGGGGCCGTGGGATTTAAACAGAGCAGCAGCAAGAAGATGAGTCAGGAGACTACGGAAGTGGTCCAAGAGAAATGACAACGGACTGGGAGAAGTGGCCAAGTGAAGAGCTGGGGGTGCGTCCTGTAGAAGGGAGAGAAGAGCAGGCTCGCTAATGGGCGGTGCCATTTGGAAACGGCAATTAGTTTTCATTAACCCATTTTACCCACTGTCATCCACCCTGTCTGGGAAAAAAAATAAGATAAATTTTCTGAATGTTCTTATACCTGAAAGTGAAACTGGTTCACAAAATAAACACATACATAATCCAGTGCCAAACACTGGTGATTTATAGAAATCACCCCAGTTTATTTTTTTTCAACAAAGAAAAAAAACACATTGTTCAATAATTCAGCGTTTGGGACATTGGCAAATACTGCCTGCATTGTTCAAAATAATTGCTCCTGGCTGTGAGCTCTTTAACACATACTGATGGCCCAGGAACCTTCTACCAGGGTTCAAATAAAACAAAGGACTCACACATGGAGGTTGCGTGAGTCAACAAAAGATGCTCTATCACAATGTGCATAGAAACTCTTTGAAAAATATCCAGATCTCTAAAGGAATACAAACCTATTTGGTTTTGTTCTTGTTTACTTCATCATTATTTTTTAGTTGTTGAAGAAAATGTTTTTTTACTGTAAGGAAGGAGTTATATGACTTTATAAGTGGAAACCAATAGGCCGCTGGCTAACACGTACACTTTCCCTCCAAGTCAAGTAGCTTTTTCCCCCGAAAGCCTCTTTCAGGACTTTTGTTATGGTTCAGAAAAGTAAAGAAAATGATTTCAAGTATTCAATTCCTATCAAAAATTGGTATCAAAAGTAATAGATGACCTAATTTCTTTATAATTCCATGTTCTAAAAAATAACTTAAGAAGCAAGAGGTCCGGCCCTTTACTTGTATAAATTACCACAGCAGAACTAGAGTTTCTTAAGACAGCGTGGAGAAGAGTCTGTGTTTAGCACCTCGATCATCGATCTTAACGTTGGAAATGTTTCTGATACTGACGGAAGAGTCTTATAAGAAGGTGAAATGCTGAAAAAGAAAAACACAAAGTAGTGGTATGAAAACTAACAAAATTTGCAAAAAAAAGGTGGAGCTTATGTTATAGTTATTCCTATGATTATATTAATTATATTTGTAATATTAGACAATGTTAGAAAGGCAGGGAGGAACCGGGAACAGAACAGCTCCTCCCACGACAATGGCCTAGGGTATCAGCCAACACACTAGGAGCTGCTTGGAAGTTAAACCAGAGCTTTGAAAAAGAAAATTAAACTCTGATTTACATGTCCAGCTGTGGTGCCTGCTGGGCTTGAAATCAAAAGACACAGGTTTCAGGTCCAGCTTCACTCCTTATTAGCTTTCCTTATTTCTCTAGGCTGCACTTCCCTGATCTGTCACAGGGAAAGTATTCTTAATTCGAAGTTACCAAGAGCTCTAAATGAGATAAGGTATGTCAAGGTACACCGTAAAGCATTAACTACATGATGTAAGGTAGCGTTGTTCTTTCCTTAAAGAGTTGTCAAAAGATTTACACTGTACAATTATCTAAGAACAGAAGCTAGACCTTTGGCCTGGTGGTTGTATTACTAAAACATGTGCAAACTAATAAACCTGAAACAAGAATGTACCAGGACAGGGTGTAACTGTTAGACGCTTTCACTGCAAAGCTAAATTACAAACTGAGCAATGGTGGACTGTAGCACAAATTTTTGTTTTAAACAGAATATAAATTACCCAGCAAAAAAGAGTGCTTGCTATGTCAAATAGATGTGAAAGGCAAAACTGAGGGTGGTTGGGATATACAAAACCAGGGGAACGGGCAAGAATAACTAAGGCCAAACAGTGAGGCTTGCTTATTCTTTACTAGCTACTGAGGCATCTATGAGTTTAATTTCACACACTTCAGATTCACACAGTCCTCTCTAGTGCTTCTGGAAACAAGAGCCAGGAACGATCATGGACTGCTAGACTCCTCACACACAGAGACTGTCAGGGATAATTCCTGGCAGCTATATACTGGCTCACAATACTGTCTGCCTAAGTGGCAATAAAGTGCCAACTTCAAAAAGCTGGAGCCTACTTAGTTGCGCCTCAAGTGATCCTCCCACTGTAGCCTCCTAAAGTGCTGGGATTACAGGTGTGAGCCACTGTGCCTGGCCTTCATCATCCATTTTTATCCATACACTCACCCTTAAAAAGTTATCTTGGCCGGGCGTGGTGGCTCATGCCTGTAATCCTAGCACTTTGGGAGGCCAAGGTGGGCAGATCACAAGGTCAGGAGTTTGAGACTAGCCTGGCCAATATGGCGAAACCCCATCTCTACTAAAAATACAAAAAAAAAACAACCCAGCTAGGTGTGGTGGCACATGCCTGTAATCCCAGCTATTTGGGAGGCTGAGGTAGGAGAATTGCTTGAACTTGAGAGGCAGAGGTTGCAGTGAGCCGAGATTGTGGCATTGCACTCCAGCCTGGGCAATAGAGTGAGACTCCATCTCAAAAAAAAAAAAAAAGGTTATCTTATACAATAGCAAAACATTTTAACCTTGACAAAGTGGATTACATTCATTGTATTACAATATTAACTTATAAAAATGAGTATAACAATTCCAGTTTTCACAGAGCTCCAAAGTAAAAGGAAACCCCCTTTCCTGCTCCGGTTATGATACCCCTCAAGCAGTTACCTTTTCAAGTTCATCCAGCTTTTGGCGATTTTGCTAAAGGCCTCTGAACCAGGGGCTGTCATAGCTTCAAAGTCGACTAACTGAAAAAGAATGACATTTAGGAATGTTCGTAAACATGGAAGACACAGGCTTGGTTGGAGATCTGTGTAACTCGTGTACCTTAAAATAAAAATCTGTAGATTGGGACTTAACACATAAACAAGCGTTTCTCCCTTCCCGCTCCAACGTACCTTCCCTTTGGGAATTTTTCCTGCTACTTCTTTTCCACTTGCCATCAGTGCTCCCACGATGACTGAGTAAGCAATTACACTATTTAAATAAAAAACAATGGTCAATCCATCCTGGACAGTCTACAGTTACCATGTTAAATTTCACCCATGGATTCCCCATCGTGAAAGATAAATTTTATTTAAAAATTCTTTCGAATAAAACACAAAACGTATGTCTATTTGTTTAAGAATAGTTACTAATTTGATATTAAAATGTATTTACTGGCCAGGTGAGGTGGCTCACGCCTGTAATCCCAGCACTTTGGGAGGTCAAGGCGGACAGATCGCTTGAGGTCAGGAGTTTGAGACTAACATGGTGAAACCCTGTCTCCACTGAAAACACAAAAGTTAGGCCAGGCATGGTGGCTCACGTCTGTAATCCCAGCACTTTGGGAGGCTGAGGCGGGTGGATCACTTAAGGTTAGGAGTTTGAGACCTGCCTGGCCAACATGGCAAAACCTCATCTCTACTAAAAATACAAAAAATTAGCTGGGTGTGATGGCAGGCCCCAGTAATCCTAGCTACTTGAGAGTCTGAGGCAGGAGAATTGCTTGAACCCAGAAGGTGGAAGCTGCAGTGAGCCGAGATCACACCACTGCACTACAGCCTGGGCAACAGAGCAAGACTCCGTCTCATAAGAAAAAAACACAAAAATTAGCCCGACGTGGTGGTGGCACCTGTAATCCCAGCAACTCAGGAGGCTGAAGCACAAGAATCACTTGAATCCACGAAGTGGATGCTGAAGTGAGATGAGATCACACCACTGCACTCCAGCCTGAGTGACAGAGCAAGACTCTGTCTCAAAAAGAAAAACAAAAAAAGAATATATTCACAAATTTAACAGTGTCACCAAGAACATTCATTTTCTGAGGAAAAAAAGGGGTTTTTAAAATTTTTCTCTTTTGAGCTGGAGTCGCACTCTGTCAAGCGGGCTGGAGTGCAGTGGTGTAATCTCAGCTCACTGCAGCCTCGGCCTCCCGGGTTCAAGCAATTCTCCTGCCTCAGCTTTCTGAGTAGCTGGGACTACAGGCACATGCTGCCACGCCCGGCTAATTTTTGTATTTTTAGTAGAGACGGTGTTTCGCCATGTTGGCCAGAATGATCTTGATCTCTTGACCTTGTGATCCTCCCACCTTGGCCTCTCAAAATGCTGGGATTACAGGTGTGAGCCACTGCACCCAGCCAAAAGTGTTTCTTTTTACTAGGAGTTTCTTCCTACTTGTGTTTTTATTTAAATTTTTTTTTCCCCACACTAAACCACATTTAAAAGACCCATTTGTGGGTTTTTAAAAAATTCTTCTAATATAGTACATTTAAAAATGTGCCTGTTTATATTTTAAAAATTTCATGAGGCTTGGCTTCACAATGCATATATACAATAAAGTTCATAAATATAAATACATACATTAGTCTTATTTTTTAAGCATTAGAAATTCTGGCCTTCAAAGAAGAAATGCAGAACACATTCTCACAATGTACTGATGGACGGATGGTTTGGAGCTTTGGGAGTGTGTATGAACTGCCAGGGCTCTGAGGCCCAGGAGATTGTGGGGTGCTTTTGCCTGCTGGCCTGGGGGCTTGTGGGGCAAGGTCTGCTGCCCTGTCACTCCAGAATGAGTGTGGGGCTGCCAGTGTACAGGTCTGGGGCAGGAGGTGCTTATAAGGCGTTATGCTTCTGCTCTTGGTGAGAGCAGAGAGAAGGCTGGTTGGTTCCGGGTGGAAGGGGCTTGCAAAAGTCTGGGGGACCTGGTATTGTAACCACAGTGTTGTACTTTTCCCAAAACGAATTGGTTCAGGATAAAGACGGCTCTCACCCATGAGATAATGCACCCTAGCGAGGGGACAGGATGGCACAAGCACCTTCAGAGAACGCTAACAAGCGCCATGGGCTGACACCAAGAAAAGTGAGTCAAGTTGATTCATGGGGTTCTCCAGCAGGGAAGACTTCAGAGTCTAAAGACATGTGCCCTGCATCCTCGAGGGCCCCAGGGCTGGGGGCAAAAGGGGCAGAGATGGCAGGGAGGTGTGGCTGAGAGCTCACCTGCACCAAGGGCCAAAGGGAAGAGAAAAAGCAGCAGAAGAGAGTGGTGCTGCAGCCAAGGCAAACCAGGGCAGGGCAGGCTGGCATTGTGCACTGTGCATGCTGCCAAGCCTGAGCCCACGGTTTTCAGAAGGTGCTGGAGAGCCTCGGGGCATGGAGAGGAGCAGGAGCAAAGCTAGCTGTGGCAGGCAGCGGACTTAGAAAAGAGAGAAACAGAAGTGTGGGAGGTGGAATCAACAGGCTGTGTAGCACCGAAGAGATGTAGGGATGAGGGAGAGTGGAGGACCATCAGAGCTGCACTTCCTTTGGTGTCACACATGAGCCAGCAGAGCTGCTGTGAGAACAAAGGAGGTTGCTGGCTATTCTGCACGGTGTCTGCACGTGGGGCCCACAGGCAGTGATGCACACAGGCCACACTCACATCACTTACTCAGTGGATACAACCAGCAATATTATGCTGATTAGATAACATTTATGTTTCTATTTTGTTTCATTGAGTTTTAAATACTATAACCAAACTTACTACCATGTTTAGGGGAGTTTTACTTTCTAAATCATTAATCAAAGATAAAGACATTCAAGTGTATTATGTTTAGCCTACGCATCTTAAGTTCAATAACTATGTGCCAGCAATGGCAAAAGGCCATTTATGTGATTTACTGCACATAGTATTGGGAGAAGGAGAATGAAATGAAAACTCTACAGTCACAGCCCTTGTTTCTAATGGCACCTAAGAAACTCTTGATGTACTCATACAAGTAGCAAGAATTTATCCAAAATAATAAAAATAGTAACGAGTGACTGGTGCCCCAAAAGTATAAACCATGAGGATTATGGGTCACCTGACAGCCCAAAATAGAGGAGAGAGAGGAGAAGGTTCAGTAAGCAGCTGGCAGACACCAAAAATAAAAACACGCTGAGCACGACCCATGGTACACAGTAAACTTTCCATGAACTTCTGTTGAATGGATGAATCCCTATCCTGTTAAACTTAAGCACACTATATTAGAACTGCCTTCTATAATTCTTTTGATGATGCGGTAGACTAAGGAAATATTTTTTTGTGTAGAATTTGGGGAAAAAAAATAGGGAGCCCCTTACCATTTCTTGGTGTACTCTACCTATGACCATACAGGAAGGATAAACAAAAAAGAACCCATTTCTCAATTTAAAATAATTTTAATGACAGGCTGTTACTTACCTGGATCCTCGAGAGAGCGGCATTAAATTATAAAAGTAATAAACTAAGGATAAGATTAAGTTGCAGACAGCATCAGCCTCCTAGAAAAAAAGACATTTTTGAAAAAACATATTTGGTGTTAATAAGTGCCTTTTAAAATTTTAATTAAAAAAAATTGTTTCTCAGAAACAAAAAAAATTTGCAAGGGGCTTACCCCAAAAGATCTGGGTAAGCCCCTTCCTCTACTCTGCAATGAGATTTAGATGATGCTCAGTTATGTATATATACTCAGATGCTTAATTATATGGATGAAATGATTAAGTTTGGAAAAATAAGGTGACTTTTCAATGGTAAGGGGTATCCGTCCACTGCAGAACACAGGGAGGGGGCATGGTGGAGAATGTCCACCATACCCTGCTGCCTGCAACACCACCACATCTAGTCTGGGCGGACACCAAGGGAAGAGGCCACAGACCAGCAAAGGGCCACTAAGTGCAAAGTATACACAATTTAATTGTACTTTCATTGCCATGAACTCATCAGAATGCATCATCCAGTTTACATTCAAAAGCTCATTGTAAATGTATGGTTATAAGCAACAACCACAATGGAGGGAAGAAAATGGATGAAAAAGGTGAAGCCCAGCCAGGTCATTTTCACTATGGACCAACTTTTTTATACCGTGTCAAAGCCCAAACTTAGGATAATGTTGTAGCACAGTACTAAATTATTAATTTATTATCCTTCCCGTTACTGTAGTTACTAAAAACAAGAATTTTGGGGCTATAAAAATGTTTCAAAAGAAATATTTTTAGGTCAAATTCAATCTGATTTCAAGCATAAGATGTACAATCTCAACGAAAGGGCAGAGGTTCAAAAAGTCTACAAAGGAATCACAGGACGAACAGAAAAATACAAACAAAGAGAAACCTACCCCAAATTCTGATGAAAGAATCAATACTTTTCCTTTTGCTGTCAAATCTTTATAAAGTGCATCTATTTCAGCATGATATAATTGTGTCCTTTCTTCTGTGGTTTGAGTTTCCACAGAAAATAATATATTGCCAACTCTGAAAGTACAAAAAAAAAGTGTCAAAGGCATGTATTATAAGTTCAAGCAGCCAAATGCAGAAAGTTTTTTTAAAAAGCAAATAGCATGCTGATGTGGCACTAAACATATACAAGAATGTACCTTGCCTTTCTAACTATAGACAAGCAAGGCAGGTTTCATAAGAATGCATTATTTCTTCATAAAATATGACAGCTGTCTCACCTTTAAGTGATTCATTTGCTCACAGTTAAGTCTAACCACATGTACTTCTTACACGAGCTTAAACTAATATATGGGAGAACAATTACACATAGTAAAGAATACATTTAAACGACCAGTAAATATTTTCTATGCCACCCCATTAGGATTAAAGGCCAGAACCAAGAACTGTGTGTAGGAAGAAAGTTCAGGGACTTCACCACTGTTTTGTTTTTTATGCTTTAGCTCCACTGAGGTTCTACGAAGGACCTAAGTTTGACACAACAGGCATTTTTTTTTTTTTTTTGGGTATAACGCCAGCAGCAAAGTGTTGCACTTAGTCCTTGGATCCTACAAAGAAAAGCCCAGCTGCTGCCTTGATTGAGGAAGGAAGGGAGAAACCGGGCCACAAATTATTATTATTATTAGAAATGGGATCTTGTTTTATCACTGAGGCTAAAGAGCAGTAGGGTCATCATAGCTGACTGCAGCATCAAACTCCTGGGCTCAAGTGAACTTCCCACCTCAGCCTCTTGAGTAGCTGGGACTACAGGTATGTACCTGTAGCTATTTTTAAAAATCTGCTGCAGAAGCAGGGTCTCACCATGTTGCCCAGTCTGATATCGAACTCCTGGCCTCAAACAATCTTCCCATCTTGGCCTCCCAAAGTGCTGGCATGAGCCACCACTTCTGACCAAGGGTCACAAATTATTATGAGACCATGATTCAGGTCATAATGTAGCTCATCAGGAATCAAAAAAAGAATCTAATTTGGACAACACAGAGAAAAGCAGGAATGGTCTCATGGGAGAAGTGGCCTCAATGTGGGTCGGGATGGGAGTGACAGAGACCCAGATGTCGGAAAGCAGAGGTGAACTGGGGAACAAACAGTCCGGTCGGACTAGCGGGCCAGGTTCCAACAGGGAGATGGTCCAGGTCAAGCAGGAAATGTCTAAGGCCACTTTGTGAGAGACCGGGAATGCCTGGCTGGGAAGCTGATTTTGTAGCCACAGGCAATGGCCAGGTATGGAGAGGGGAGAGATTTCTGGAGTTAGGGGAACACCCAGTGAGGTGGAGCTTTAGGAACACTGCTGAAGCTGGTGAAGCAGGAGGTAGGAAATGGGATGCCAGGCAGAGTCTACTCGAGGGGTCAGGAGGCCCAAAGCAAGGGAGGAAGCAAGTGGGGTGAAACGGGCAAGTGAGGAAAGATGTCACACTTCAAGGGGAGAGCCTTCATGTACAGTTGACCCTTGAACAACATGGGTTCCAACTGCATGGATCCACTTATACGAGGATTTTCTTCCGCCTCTGCCACCCCTGAGACAGCAAGACCAACCCCTCCTTTTCCTCCTCAGCCTACTCAATGTGAAGATAATGAGAAGACCTTTATGACGATGCATTTCTACTTAACACATAGTTAAGTATATTTTCCTTATGACTTTTAAAAATTTTTAATTAAATTTAATTATTTTTAAATTTATTTATTACACTTTAAGTTCTGGGGTACATGTGCAGAACGTGCAGGTTTGTTACACAGGTAAACACGTGCCATGGTGGTGGTTTGCTGCGTCCATCACCCCATCATTTATATTAGGTACTTCTCCTAATGCTATCCATTCCCTATCCTCCCACACCCTGCCATTTCTCCCCTAGGCCCCCACCCCTCAGGCCCTGGTGTGTGATGTTCCCCTCCCTGTGTCCTTGTGTTCTCATTGTTCAACACCCACTTATGAGTGAGAACATGCGGTGTTAATGGTTTTCTGTTCTTTTGTCAGTTTTCTGAGAATGATGGTTTCCAGTTTCATCCATGTCCCTGCAAAGGACATGAACTCATCCTTTTTTATGGCTGCATAGTATTCCATGGTGTATATGTGCCACATTTTCTTTATACAGTCTATCACTGATGGGCATTTGGGTTGGTTCCAAGTCTTTGCTATTGTGAACAGTGCCACAATAAACATACATGTGCATGTGTCTTTATAATAGAACGATTTATAATCCTCTGGGTATATAACCTGTAATGGGATTGCCGAGTCAAATGGTATTTCTATTTCTAGATCCTTGAGGAATCGCCACACTGTCTTCCACAATGGTTGAATTAATTTGCACTCCCACCAACAGTGTAAAAGCATTCCTATTTCTCCATATCCTCTCCAGCATCTGTTGTCTCCTGATTTTAATGATCACTATTCTAACTGGCGTTGAGGCGGTATTGCAATGTGGTTTTGATTTGCATTTCTCTAATGACCAGTGATGATGAGCTTTTTTCATATGTTTGTTGGCTGCATAAATGTCTTCTTTTGAAAAGTGTCTGTTTTGTCACTTTGCTCACTTTTTGATGGGTTATGTTTTTTTTTTTTTTTTTTTTTGTAAATTTCTTTAAGTTCTCCGTAGATTCTGGATATTAGCCCTTTGTCAGATGGGTAGATTGCAAAATTTCTTTTCCATTCTGTTGGTTGCTGGTTCACTCTATTGACAGTTTCTTTGCTGTGCAGAAGCTCTGAAGTTTAATTAGATCCCATTCGTCTATTTTGGCTTTTGTTGCCATTGCTTTTGGTGTTTAGTCATGAAGTCCTTGCCCATGCCTATGTCCTGAATGGTACTGCCTCAGTTTTCTTAGAGTTTTTATGGTGTTAGGCCTCATGTTTAAACCTTTAATCCATCTAGAGTTAATTTTTGTATAAGGTATAAGGAAGGGATCCAGTTTCAGCTTTCTGCATATGCCTAGCCAGTTTTCCCAATGCCATTTATTAAATAGGGAATCCTTTCCCCATTGCTTGTTTTTGTCAGGTTTGTCAAAGATGAGATGGTTGTAGTTGTGTGGCGTTCTTTGATTTTCTTAATAACACTTTCTTTTCCCTAGCCTACTTTATTTAAGAATACAAAACATTAATACATATAACATACAAAATATGTGCTAATCGACTGTTTATGTTTTTGGTAAGGCTTCTGGTCAACAGTAGGCTACCAGTTAAGCTTTGGGGGAGTCAAAGCTTATATACAAATTTTTGCCTGGTAGGAATGGGAAGGTCAATGCACCTAACCCCTGAGTTATTCAAAGATCAACTGTACTTATTTAGTAATTAAATTTCTGCTTGAGAATCTGATCTGAGGATACACGTCATGGATGTGTGAAAAGGTAGGAGAACACTTTTTACCTTATATAGCACGCCCTGCAATCAGGGAAAAATGATCTTTATTGGGAACATACTTTGATAAGAAGCTTAGGGTAGAGATCAAGACTTCAAAGATATGGAAAAGCCCCAAAATCTGGAAGTTGCTGAACTGGTGTTTACTCATGAAGGCCGGTTTAAGTTTTGACATGGAACTTGAAGAGGTGGCTCCCTGTAGTTTAGAGGAAAAGCACCTGAGAAAGCCAGAGTCCAAGAGGCAGAGGGGGCCGGAGAATGTGAGTCACAGCCTCACTGCTGAGCAGGTGGAAACCAGGGGAAGGGCATGGCACTTCCCAAGGCTATGCACCTGAAGATGGGTATGGGTGTGTGTGGGCGTGTGGGTACGCGTATGTGCGTGCGCGTACAGCTCAAGGCAATTCCACCCACAATTCAAGGAATATGCAGCCTGATAGACAAAGCTTGGATTTCAGATGAAAATACAACTAGAGTTAATAAAAATGTTCACTGCCATGCTATTTATAAAGTAAAACAATGAGAAACACCCTAAATGGTCAATAACAAAAAGATCAGTCAGAGAAATTCTACATCTATACAATGGAATGTTATACAGTTACTAAAAATACTCTTAAGATTGGGGAAATGATCATGATAATGTAATGGTAAGGGTAGAAAATAAACAGGTTAAAAAACAGTAGGTACAGTATAACCTCAGTTTTTAAAGAAAATAACTTGATTTTTATTTTGTTAATTTTGCTTATCTGTATATTCTAAATTTTCTATAAGATTATACTACTCATTAATAATTAAATTTAATATATATATTTAAATCTACAATGGACTTTATTCCTCATCTTTTTTCATTTTATTAGTAAAAGGCTCCCTCGCCCCCCAAGGAACTTAAAGAACCTAGAAATGTCTTCCACAAACTATATCATATTTAGTACCTCTAAAGTCCTTAGATTTAGACAGTTAGAAAATGTATCTGCTGGTATAAATGTGACTTTAGCTGTCACATTTTAAAAAATAACAGGTTATAACTGCTCACTGGACCTTGATCGTTTTCTTTCTTTTTTTTTTTTTGAGATGGAGTCTCACTCTGTCACCCAGGCTGGAGTGCAGTGGCGTGATCTCGGCTCACTGCAGCCTCCACCTCCCGGGTCCAAGCAATTCTCTGCTTCAGCCTCCCAAGTAGCTGGGATTACAGATGCCCGCCACCACACCCGGCTATTTTTTGTATTTTTTAGTGGAGACCGGTTTCACCATGTTGGCCAGAATGGTCTCAATCTCTCGACCTCGTGATCATGATCCGCCCATCTCAGCCTCCCAAAGTGCTGGGATTACAGGCATGAGCCACCACGCCCGGCCAATACTTTTCATTTCAGGATGGAGCAAAAGCTCAACGCAACAAAACTCTACAGCGACAAGCACAGGCACCCTTCCTGCCTCCAGTCTCTAGTCTACACCCACATTAAGAAGCATACATACTTGTCTCCTGTAATCGTGATTGTGAATCCATCGTATTCCTTCCCTTGATCTTTAAGGCTGGGAACTTTTGTGTTCACGGTGAACCCATCCTTTGTTTTAGTATTAAACTGCTTTCAGGGAAAAAGAAAATTCAAGTTACTAGTGTTTAATTCACTGTAAACCCCGACTGCAACTCTGTAGTGCTGGCTCTACCTTACATGCTTTTAAGAAGGGCCAAGGAGGTCATCTGATGTAAGAGATGGTGTCCTGGCAATTAGTGGCCAAGGACATCTCTGCCTGTCCTCAGGCCCCAATCTAGCCCAGGTTATGCTGCCCACAGCTCCTACCTGAGATCAGTGGAGAATCTCAGCACCAAAAGCTCACAGACCCTCTTTGTCAACAAGGGGCACTGCTCACTTCTAAGAGCTCCCTTTGAATGTTTTCTCATGCCCATCTTAGTAGGCAGCAACTTTGAATATTCACAGAATAGTTGTACCCAACATCCCATAATTCAAAAATGCAACTTATGTTCATACTAATGCTCAGAGCAGAGTCTGATTTTTCTGAAGAGTACTCAAGATTATATCTACTAACTGAAGAACTTCATTCACACCCACAACCACACCCACACCCACACCCACGCCCGCACCCACCCAACTCTGCGGACCACAGAGAAGTCGGTTAAGTTAAAGGAATTACTTGGAGCTAAGAATGGCTCTTGGGGTAATAAGTGCACGAACACAGTTTCAGATGTTAGCTTTCTGTTTAAAATATTTAGGACAAACCTCTGATGGCAATATATAGGTTTTGGAAAATGACCCCCAAATTCAATTAACTTAATATTGCCTTTTTTTTGATTGATGGACTGGAAGTTAAGAAAACCAACAGCAAAATAAAAGACAGCTATGGTTCATGAAGGAAGAGCTTGTCTAAAAACAGAAAGATGCAGCAGGTGTCACCAGCAGCCCAGAAGGCAGAGGATGAGTGGCACAGGCCATCAGGGCCACAGCAGGCACTGAACAGGCAAGCATCTTTTACGCAAAACAAAGAAAACACCTTCAGGCGAAGAAATGCACTAATACACTATGTGACGATTCTCATCTAATCCTCATGACATACTGATAACAGTAGGTATGGTCTCAATCTTATAGATGAGAAACGAACTAGGTGAGGCAAAGTCTGGCTGAGTTCCAGCCAGTGGGAAAGCCACAAAGTAAGAACGTGGACCCAAGGCCTTGGTGAATTCCAGTCCATGTTACTTGCTAATAAACCTCCTCTAAGGGGGCACTGATAGAACGTTAACTTGGTTTTTCATCGATGGCACCGTTGTGCCTTTCAGTGGAAGCAGACCCGGTACATTTCACCAAGTACTTTAAACACTCAAATATCTTGCTGTATATTCCGCTGTGTGTGCCCTGCAAAGTACCAATATATCCATAATCCTGTGTAAAAGCTTGATGTATAATGCCGAAGTGGAATGTCATCCCACCACTGAGAACAAACGTCTTCCAGACAACAGTTGGTGACTTCACACTGAGAGGCGGCACTGAGGTTGGTGATGCCGCGTCTCTCAGGCTGCATGCTAAGTGACTACAGTCTTGTAGCCCTCCCGGCTTTTCTTCTTAAAGACACATAAGGCATTAAAATCACCCTAAGCTGATTTTGTATTCTGCCTAAGACCACAGGACATCTAAATGCCTAACTAGAATACCCACAGGAATGCACTGAAGAGACCTCACACGACACTGAAGTTTCCTTTCTACATGTACATCTCAAGGCCCATGGTGAAGCCATTCCGCCCTCTGGGGGGCACTGGGGGAATTTATGGGAGACTGATTATAATAGGGATTGGATATTTGGGAGCCAGGATTACTACATGTCCCACAGTACGGGGGACTGTCCAACAGTATGTATGATTTTCCAGTGTCCCACTGGATTTTCATGTAGATGAAGATCGTGTTTATCATTTAATCAATATGTGAGCCTGGAACCAGACTCTGTTTTGCACTTAAGCACTATTTATTATATAGTTTTCATACACACTGAATTTGCCAGGAATGCAAATAGCATATAAATTGAGTAAGGAGTATACTGTGTATAGCTTGGAACTTTACTAAGCGTGATTTACCATTTCAGAAAACCACATCGCCAATGACACTGTAGCTCACCAAATAACACAGAGATATGGGGCTGGATTTGTAACTGTCACATTCACCATGATTTTACGTGTAGGTATGAAGCACTGGCTACTGCTTTCCGGCTTCTTGAGAAGGCATGCCCAAATTTCCAGACTGAGGTACATTGTGTGGACTGAGATACTGAGATGACTTTGTGTAGACATTGTGAGTGGGTAAGACATATTCTCTATGACGTTCATCCTAGCGCAATAAAGGACTCAGTAAAAGGGGCATCTGAACGTGCCTACTGGGTCAACACAGTGGGTTTGAGAAGGCTGAGGGCCACTGTGTTAGTGCATCAGACCTTCACAATGAACTCCCCGAGGCAGGTCAGGCCAGAATCACTGCTCTTCAGCAGACAAAAGCCTGGAACAATTGTAAAACAGGCTCACACACCCAGCCAAGCAGATGTGGGGCCAAGTTCAGATGCTCAGCTCTGTTCACAACATGCTACTTCCTCAATATTCCTTAGAAATGGATATACTTTGCTTATTCATACAAACTTCCTAAATTTTATTTGAACCAATCTCATCTACTATAGCTACAAGAAAAACATTTACTCAGGTTTCACATTAGTGTTCAAACCACGAATTGGAAAAGCAATTCTAACTGCCGTTGGCATAGTTTTGGGGTAGTTTTACTCCTAGGTGGAGGAAAGGTTCACACAGTTATAATTTCTTAATGGATTATACTTTAGTCACATAATTTCTGTTCCTTGTAGCATCCTTCCCATTGAATTCAAATGTTTCCAATACTGACATTGCCTCACAGACTTTTCTTCTCATTAGCATTTGCCTGGTATACCTGGATCACACAATCATACTTTTGTATCCAGCATTTTTTTTCCGTCATGGGATGCAGAGGAGATAGATCTCACTCTGTCACTCAGTGTGGGCAAGAGAGCAAGACCCTGTCTCAAAAAAAAAGAACAGAAATTTATTCTGGAGATTGGGAAGTCCAAGATCAGGGTGCCAGTGTCTGAGGTGAGCCTTCTTACTGCTGCATCCCATGACGGAAGGTGGAAGGGCAAGAGAGCCCACTCTCTGAAGCCCTTTTTATAACGGCATTAATTCATTCATGAGGGCCCTGCCATTAAACACTTCCCATCAGGCTCTACTTCCCAACATGTGTGCATGGAGGATTCCATTTCCCACACATTAATTTTAGGGGGAACACATTCAAACTGGCATTTACTTCTCTAATAGTTAAAGAGTATAGGTTATTTTGCCTTCCTTTAAAGGGCACTGAGTTTTCACAGGTAGTCAAATCACTAACTGATCCATTAAATCCTTTCAGACTTAGTTTTACTCTTTTTTAGGGCAGTCTATTTAGAAATTGTTCTTAGTCCCAGGTTTTGGGCCTTACTGTAGAGTGTGGTCTTACTTTTCCACTGTGTCCTTCTTCAGGTCTTACCTAAATGCCTGAGGTGTTCACAGGATCCATCCACACTGGCAAGGCTGAACTTCAGTGTCTCCTCCGCACATAAACCTCTGACACCTCTGCTCAGCTCTTTTCCCCAAAGCAGCGACTTTCTGCTGAGTCTCTCACAGTCTTTCACTGCGCGCTCATGACCAAGGTCTTAGTCAAGGATGAAAAGGGCCCCTGGGCACTCCCCAGCCTATACGGCCTCCTTCTCTTCTACTCTGCTCTGCAAATTCCAGCCACTTTGGCAGACCCCAACTCCACTCTCTACCTGCTTAGCTTAGCAAGACCACTGTACTCTGCGTGAGCTCCAGATTACTGTACAGTGGTCTAATAAATACTCCCAGTAGAAAGCTGGGGTGACAGTGGGATCACAGTCTTATAATTAGCCAATGCCTGAAAACAACTGACTTCCATTTTGTCCAGTTTTATAACTGCAATTGTGTAAAAGGGCAGCTGAGTACCAGTTACTCAGCTGTGGCCAGAAGTGGAATTCAATCATATGTATTTTTAAGCCTTCCTGTTTCTATAGTAACTGCTTCCTCGCAAGTTGATTTTTCTGTTTGAGTCTGATGCCTGTATTTTCCTTTGTTTTGGTTATTATTCAGAACGTGTTCATACTAGTGATTTCAAATAGCATTTAATAATTCTGAGTTCTTTTTTAACAGTGCTGTTGGTTTTCTTTTCCTCTAAAAACGTCTACTGCGATTTTGATGATAAAGTTACCTTCATAATCGGAAGAAGGTCCTCTACTTTGTGTACCTTTTCCAGAGCTTCTCGAACTTCCAGCAGTCCTTTAGGATTATTAGCTCTTAAAGAGAGACAGAGAGAGACGGCAACTGAGATTAATGCAAAAATGTCATAATTATCATGCTATTATCTTTAATTTAAATAAATTGACCTCAATTTTGAGTAGCTCAGTATTGAAAATGGTAGACCACAAATAAAGTTTCTAAATAATGGGATGGTTCAATTCTAATGAGTTTTGGGCTGCAGATGAGAATTAAAGAAACAGCAGCATATGAGAATTAAGGAAACATCTAGAAGGCAAAACAGGAAAAAGCCGAATGGATTGACAGCCAGTTTTAGGCGAACATGTCTGGTTATGAGTTTGGTCCTTAAACCTCGATTTTCTTATTCCAACTCTGAAATTAGATGTAGATGTTTTGTTTTGTTTTGTTTTGTTTCCTTTCTAAAGCTGCTCAAATGAGAGTATTCTGCCAGGTTTTTCCACCAATTTTATATTTACTTGGTGATATTTAAGCATTCAGAATTTTTTTCCCCTAGTGTTCCGCTCATTGTTTTGTCTATACCATCCTGCCTTTAAAGTGAGGGAGAGTTAAGTATTAAAGCTGAAATCCCTAATAGATAAATCCAAAGAAACATCCTACTTTATAGAACAAAGAAACTAGAAAAGTCACAATAGTGCATGTAAAGTTAACAACACTTCAGTTGAGGTCTATGGATTTTGTAAAGTTATTAAAAAGAAAGTGCATATGAAAGTCTTTATGAGTCTAACACTATGAAAAATGTCACAGACCTTGTTTAGCATGTCAACAGGCTTAGTTCTCAAGTTTCAAAAATATAACAAATATAAAACACATGAAATCAACTCATTACTAAGGAGAAAATTAAAGGCTTACCCATGATAAACAAGAATCCTATCTTTAATAAAATGAAGTATTTTCTCAAAATATTCCAGGTATCTCATGTTGATCACCTGACCCCTATAAGGTAAAAATAATAAAATTAAGAATATTTTTACGGAAGAATATGCTCAAGCGAACATCTAATTTCAAAGTTAATTAAAAAAAAATAAGAAGCTATGAGAATAATGTAGAAAAAAATTCCAGGAAATTTGCTTGCTCATAGTAAACGAATGGAGAAGTAAAGCACCGTCTTGACTGCCTGCCAGCTCACAGGGCCTACCCTGGCCAGAGAGGCCATCAAACTCGGAGCCAGATAAGCCACAATGGGAAGAAAAATCCCCAGCACTGAAGTGAGGTTCAGACTTCCATATCAACGTCCTCAGATGGACCCCATCACTTGTGGGCAGTATGCCGTCTCCCTGCCCTCAATTCTCCCAACAGCATTATCTAACACCCTGTCTTGCTCTCTAGCTCACTAACAATCTCCTTTCCTCTACCCACTCTGAATATTATTTTCCTCATATTTCGTCCCTTTGGATCTTTTTCTTTTAAACTCTCTCCCAGAATTCCATGTTCAGCCAACATGCTGAGTCACATGACACAGCCAACTGCTCCTGGGACATCACTCCCTGGGTTCTCATCAGGCACGCCAAACCTCAAAGGTAACTGTCAAATAATAATTCTCTCCTGCACCCCACACTTCTCCCAGCCTCTCCACTAAACACATCCACCTACTTTTCGTTCTGGTGCTCTCTGGCCTAATGGGACAACCTTGTACCTGAGAGGGAAGGTGGCCTTCCTCTTAACTCCATGCCCTCTCCCACTGCAGCCCACCACCAATGCTCCTGATTCTACCTTCTGAGAGCCTAGCTCTTCCTCTCCAACTCACTACCACACAGCTTTCGAGATCTCTGCACTTGTTCACCTGAAAAACTACGCAATTTTCCAACCTCCTCCCTTGCCTCCAAGGTTCCTACCTCCTCTGCAATCTATTTTACCATCTGCTGCCATAGTGATAGTCCCAATGTGCAAATCTGTTCCTGTTACTTCTCTGCTTGTAATCCCTGAATGGCTCACCATTGTCTTCAGGGGGAAAAAAGTCCTTAGCTTAGACTATAAAATTATTTATGTTCTGACTTCTGCCTATCTTTCTAGCCTCAATTCCTGATACTCTCTTAATTACAAACTCACCGCCAGGCATAATGAGTTAGTCACAGTTTCCTGACCATGCCTGACTCATCCATGGGTCCATGTTAATCTCCTCACCTCTCTCTGATTTCCATTTTTCCAAATAGCTCTGGTAGCACCAGAAGGCTGAATCAGGCACCCCTTCTCCAGGTTCTCATGGCATCCTGTGCATGTGATCACCTCACTCCTAACACACTGCGTGGTAGTTATCTGCTGGTCTGTGCGCTGTGAGCTTTCTGCAGGTGGAGCTGTATCTCCATTCTGTAACCCCATCACACAGCACGGCACACTGGCTGATCCACAGCAACCTTCAATTAAACTCAGTTGCTTGAGTCTACCTATCTATGCCACAAATTATTCCATGAGAAATAAGAACATACTAGTCATAAGGTGAAAATAAATTTGTTTTCTAGAAATTAAAAAAAATAAATGTACATATAAATTATATTTCAATTAAAACCCAAACTTAAATGTCAAAGGGGTATAGAATGATAGTTTCTTGATTCAGCTTCCTGGAACTAGAAGCATTTTAGAAGTGACACAACTACCGTATTTATAAATTTTATCTAAAATTAAATTCATTAAAAGACGGGCTGATAATATAGGTTCCCTTGAAACTGATATTCTTTAATATTTGTTCATCATTTATTTAGAAGGCAGCTAGGCACATACAGAAAGGGTAAAAAGGTGAGCATTTCACCTGTGTCCCCAGCTAGCAGAGCCTCTGGACAAAACATAAGTTTTACAGCCAACCTGACTTGCCCTCTCCAGATGGCAGCTTAGTTACTAGGTAGTGTTATTTATCCAAGCCCTTTGTGTATTGGGGTGGGACAGGGAGCCTTTCTTCCACCACGAGAGATGTGTCAAATAATTTATTTGAGCTATGTACTATTAACATAATATTATGGTAAATGTAATGTTCTCAATCTAATTATCTTCTATGATGTTTTAGGAGTCCTTGAAGACTGATACCCTAGGAAAACATCTTCACTCTACCCTTCGGTTGTGCTCTACACCAGACAGAAGGGCCTAGGGAAGGAGCATGGCATGTGCTACGTTTCTTTCTGCAGCTGGGAGAGAGGAAAGGAACGCAGGTAGGACTCCGCAGGTGCAGAGTCAATCAGTATGTTTCCCGGTCAAAATGTCACCAGGAAAGAAGCAATGGGTCACTCCTAGTCTCCAAGCCCTGTGTCTTGAGAATAAACTCCTAGGAAAACAAGAGAGATGCACAAAAGATTCAGACCTGATTAAATTGATGTGGTTGTTAAAACCTCTGCTAAGACTTCGTGCTGGCATTTGATCTAACCACAGCACTGGCTGGTCCGGGTCAGCAATCCTATAACACAGAGACCTTTATGAAACCTAGAAGTGTTCAGAAGCATTCCAAATAAAACATGCAGAGGTGTTTGCCAAGGTGGAGATAAAGCAACAGCTACTCCATTATATCTAAAAATAAGGTGTCCAAACCTATAAATTCCAGCTGGACCAGGCGAGAAGCCAGGTAAAGGTAAAGGTTTAGGAACAGAGCATATTTTTTTCTCATGCAAATGAATATCAGAGGTTCCTCTAAACTAGCTAGTTGCCAGGCACATCATTAACTATAAAGGGACTGGTCCAGCAAAGTTCATTCAAAGGTACCACAGGTAATAGATCTGTTCTTTCAAAGAGACTGTTTCTAAAATGCTTCATTTAAACAGGTGATTGGAAATTTAACAACAATCAACTCCTGTTTTAAAAATATTAGTTAAGTGTATGTCAAAGAATAAAGATGCCAGCAATTTATGACAAACTTTAGAGAGAAAAACCTAACTTAGAAGGCCTGGTGTTAGCAAACAAAACAGGGTTTATAGCTTGTTAGCTAAAACAGACTGACCTTATTTAACAATGATAAGACTTATAGTTTATTTTCACCGAAAGGCTAGATACCTTCTCCATTTAACTGCAATGTCAAACATGTCTCTCCACTGCATCAACCGTGTCTTTCCATTCATTCGAACTTTCGAGTTGGTCCATGTACGTTGCACGGCTTGCATGACCTCCAATGCGGCCAAACCCATAGCTATGAGAAATGAATATCGAGAAGACAGTTAGTACACTTTAGAGGGACTGAGTTCCACCTACTTTACACAGTCTCGGTGATAACTCAAGAGTTAACACATAAAGGGTCAGACGTGTTGGTGCTGTAACAAGACCCAAGGCATGTTTCAGTCATGACGGTCCTAATAAAATTAAAACCCGTCAGAGGGAACTAGAGATAACTCAAGTTGTCTGCTCCCAATTCTGCCTCCTACTGATGCAAGTGGAGGTTTGCACTTTTCCTCACTCCTATGGTAAGGAAATAGCTCCCTGGATCAGCTGTCTGATTTTGAATAAGGACTTAAGGCCTATACTCTAGTCTATACTACGGCAATAGCAAAGAAGCCAAGGATGGAAGTAGTCTTCTCTCAGAATTCACTTTCAATGATTCTACACATTTCTGCTTTGATCACACGGAGATTTGAATAACCACAATAAATACTAATTTTTTAAAAAGCACAACACAGCTGAACCACCCTTTCTCTTATGCTGGGAATATTTTCATTTTCAGATAGTTTCCAGAATACCTCTGTGTATTCTCTTGTTTGGCAGGAAACCAGGTGTTTCATATTGCATCAGGGATCCCAAACGATCAGCCACACAAATCAGCTCCTGTACTTCAGGCTTATAACTCTCAAAATTCTGATGTAACACATCTCTGAAAGAAACATTGTATACATGATACGGACTTTTACAACAGACATTTGGTAATCCAATTCCACCTGAAGAGCAGTCACTTCCTCCACTGGAAAACTAATGAAGCAGTCTGCAACCACATAATCCTTACTTCAGTGCTTTGCGCTCAACCATACCCTAATTTAAAAGGGAATTTTTGGGACAGCATGTGCATAACTGCTATCACATGCTGGTTAGTAACAGTGGTAACTATAATAACTAGTGCACCATTCTGAAGACACCGCTTTCCATTATTTGCTTTCTAAACTTCTCCGGAATACATATCTGAATGGACTGCCCTTTTCAACAAGCAACCAAACCTCTGCCCTTTTTCCATTCCTCACCCCTGCCCAAGTTGTATTGGAACAAGTATACTTGGAATGACACATGGAAAGACTATTGTTTAGCTGCCAACCGGCTTGATGTTTTTATAATAAAGAATGACACTCTAAATTATAGGTTGTTCTGGGGATCTCCAAGACCATCCTCACTCACGCTCAGAAATTGGCTGGGAGGGCTCTGTGGACTTGGCACATAATGATACTCACAACAGTGAGTATCATTTTTTGTTTTGTCTCCATTTGTGATTTATTACAGCAGAAGGAGACAAAACAAAACCAGCAGAGGGAAGAGGCACATTGGGAGAAGTCTGGAGGAAGCGTGGCACAAACTTCCAAGGGTCCTCTCCCAAGGAAGTCGTATATGACACATTCAATTTTCCCGGCAATTAGTTGTGAACACATGTGTAAAATGCTGCCAACCACAAAAGCTCATGAGAGACTCAGTGCCCAGATTCTACTGACGTCTGGTTCTAGGTACCTTCTGCCTGTAAGTTCCCAAATTCCAGATACCTAGAAGGAAAGCAAGTGTTCAACAGAAACCACACTGTTTGAACAAACAGTTTAGGCACAGGGAACCACTCCTATTAGTTCTGGGAGTAGTAGGAATCCCCTTGAAATCCAAGTTCCCAGATACCAACCAAGGGTCACTCTTGCAAGCAGTCCTTTCCAAGGACAGCGGTCACAGATCTGCTATGTTAACTCTTTTGTGCATAGAAATATTTCTCAAAAAAGGAACGGTTAGAGAGCATCCATAACCTCTATGAGCAATCAATTTTCTTTTCATTATTTTTGATCATGTAATAGTTGAGACACACAGAAAACACAAAGTCAAATTACCAGGCAGATCACTAGGTCAGGAGTTTGAGACCAGCCTGGCCAACACAGTGAAACCCCATCTCTACTAAAAATACAAAAATTAGTTGGGCGTGGTGGTGGGGGCCTGTAATCCCAGCTACTCAGGAGGCTAAGGCAGGAGAACTGCTTCAACCTGGGAGGCAGAGGTTGCAGTGAGTTGATATTACTCCACTGCACTCTAGCCTGGACAACAGAGCAAGACTCTGTCTAAAAAAAAAAAAAAAAAAAACCTAGAGCAATTAAATGCAGTTGTATCTACTTCCCTGCTGCTTTCCTATCCCATCCTTCTGTGTCCCAGTCAGTGAATACTTACCTTGGAATTTGTGCTCCTGATTTCCTTTCCTTTTTAAAAAATAGGTTTGTTACATATAAATATCCCTAAACAATATACTCCACAGTTTTGCTTATGAGCTTTGGGAGAAAAAAATGACGTGACAGCATAGCCTACTACTGACTTGGTGCTTTTATTCAACATTACATTTTAAAATTAATTCACATTGTTGCCTGGGTAATTTGTTTATACTGCTGTATAATATTCCATTGTGTGACTGTATCACATTTATCCATTCTTCTGTTGATGGACATTTGGGTTGATTTCCAGTGTTAGTTGTGAACAAATACTGCTAGCAGACTTGTACAAGTCTCTCCTTATAGATATGTGCACAAGTACAAAGTTATCTGAATAGGCACAGAACAAAATCTCACATTAAGTATTAAAATATCCAACTTTACTAGATAATGACAAACTGCTTTCCAAAGTGGTTGTAGCCACTTATACTCTCACCAGGAGTATACAAGTTCTCCATAATCTCCCTTCTGACCAATATTACTAATATCAGACTTTGCTATATTTGCCGATCTCGTGGCTGAAAACAATCTCATGAGGTTTTAATTTACAAACTGAAGTATCTCTTCATGGTTGTCATTCATGTTTTCCCCATGGTAAAATTATCTGTTCATATCTTTTGCAAACTTTTCTATTGGTTGGCTCTGACTTTTTAATTTGTAGTGATACTTCATAAATTTGGACACTAACCTACATTGTTGCCTGGGTCATTTGTTTATACTGCTGTATAATATCCCATTGTGTGACTGTATCACATTTATCCATTCTTCTGAATGGTCAAATTACATAATTTGGTCAGTTTTGTAAGTTTGCAAGTATCTTCACCCAATTTGGGCTTATTTTTCTTTTCTTATGGTGTCATTTGTTGAGCAGAAGTTATTGGGTTCAATGTAGTCCAATTTATCAATCTTTTTGTTTCAGATCTATGCTTTGTGCTTCTTATGAAATCCTTCTATACCCCAAAGTCATAAACATTTTCATTTATAATTCTGCCCAAAGTTTAAAATATTTTGCCATTCATATTTCAGATTTTCATCCATTTGGAATTGGATTACTATGCCATCACAAATGTTAAATTTATTTTATCCATAAAATAAGCTAACTGGCCCATCCCCACATCTTGACCAGTCCCACCCTGATCTATAACACAGCTTTACAATTATCTAAGCTACCTATTCTCTTCCTTTAGTCCACTTGTCTATCCCTGCACCAATACCATTCTGTTCATTACTATATTAAGTTTTGCTATTTGGTAGGATGGGAACCTTCCCCTTCAAACCTGAATTCCACAGAATTTACAGAATTCGCTCAACGAGTTCCTCAAAAAAACTTAGGATTTTGAATGGCATTTTATTAAATCTATAATTAATTTGCAGAGAAATGGCCTATTATCATTGAACTTCCAATCCATAAGCATAGTATTTCTCACCATTCATTTGTTTTATCTCAGTAACTTTATAAGTTTATAATTAAGTTTTGTTATCTCCATGCAGGTTTTATACATATTTTGCAAGATTTATTTCTAAGTATTTGTTACTATTACAAATGATATTTTTGTTATTTGTATATAGAAATGCAACTGATTCTTGTATATTGATTATAAATAATGACCTTGCTAAACTCTCATCATTTCCTTTGTAGAAAATTATGTGATCTGCCAACGACAGCTTTCTATTTTCCTTTCTAATCCACATCACTGATTTCTTTTTCTTCTCTCTGTGCACTGTCTAGGACTTCTAGTTTACTGTTACAGAGAAGCAATGATTCTGGGTTTTTTTGTTTGACTCCAAATGGTAATGGTAATGTATCTAACACTTCATTAGTTAAAATGATGTTTGCTATAGGTGTTTTTTGTTTTGGTTTGGTTTTAGAGATGGGGTCTTTGCTATGTTGTTGTGGTGCAATGAATGGATGCTTATTCACAGGCACAAGGTTAGCATGCTTAATTGAACTCCTAGGCTCAGGCAATTCTCCGATCTCACCCTCCCAAGTAGCAGGGAGTGGTGTGCCACCATGCCCAGCTTATAGCTCAGCTTTGAGAGATTAAAAAAAAATCATATTCAATTAAAGCACTTACTTTATGTGGGGTTGCAACCCTGGCTGCTCTTCATAGTCTTCTATGAGGAAAGGCAGATTTTTAGCCCAATGGTCCTTAAAGCTTCCAGGCAGATCCACATCAATGTTATATTCCGTAAGTGGGGTATCAAGGTGTGCATGAAGATATCGAGAATATTCTGCAGAAAGAAAATAAGATCTGATACATCTAAATACTGCTAAAGAAACTTTCTTATGGCTAGCTGCCATATAAATATTTTGTAACAAGCTGTTATGCAATTATAATAATTCTAAAAGGAACTTCTAAATTTTAGTAATTCATGATTAGTATATGATACAGGTAACCTGCCACTGACTTGAGATAACAAGGTCAAATGTAAATCAGTCAGTCTGGGTCTACTTCGGCTAACTTTTAATCACCTTTCCAGGAAAATCACCAAAAATCTCATTGTTTTCAATTCCAGAGCTTGAGAATCCAAGATCAGCATCAGATAGAGCCTGGTACTCTGTCAACTGGTATACAGATTAATTGAGCATATGATTTCACCAACCGACTGATGGACTGCTGCCGACTCTATGGAAGCAGTGCAGGAAAAAACCAAAGTACAGAGTACCTGCCCCTTCTGTCTATAATTCGCAAGTCCAAGTTCTATTGAACCAGGGAAAAAGGAAATTGTAATTTAGGGTAAAGAAAGATGCTGTCTAATAGGTAGCCCCTAGCTACCTGGCTATTGGATACGTAATGAGGTTAGGGTGATTAAAACTGAGTTTTAAATTTGATTTAATTTGAATTAATTTAAACTTACAAACTGATACTTGATTCAGTCATTAGAAAACTTCAGTATGTTTGGAACAACTTGCACACATGAACCTACTTTTTCAACTCTAAATATAAATTCTAAATTCAGATCAAGTATTTCTAATGAAAATTTAACATCCAAATTGAGATGTACTGTAACATAAAATATACACCAGATTTCAAAGACTTAGTACAAAAAATAATGTAAAGTAGCTAATGAATAGCACTTTCATATTAATTATATTATATATTGAACTGATATTTTGGTTATACTGAATTTAAAATTATATATTATTAAAATTTCACTTCTTTGTTTTTCGTTTTTTAATGTGGCTACTACAAATTTAAAATTACATACACAGCTTTTCACATTTTTTTTTCTTTTGGACGGTCACAGTATAAAGGGCTCACAATAACAAAGGAAAATGTGGGCTTTAATAAATAAAAAACAAAATGTCTTCAGAGACAGGAGATGGGTAAGTAAAACTACAACTAATAAAAGGGTACCTGCAAGACTTGCTTTCTTCCTCACCTCATATTTCTCCAAAATATATGAGAATTTTGACATAAAGGATACCAAGTTCACATTTAACAGTAAGAACCTCACAGAATGTCAGCTTCCTGCCCTTTCTGTATTCTTGGATGAGATGTGATTAGACACAAATACTCCAGATGCTTTTGTCACATTTAGTTCAAAATATGGTTTTTTGACTTAAGTAAAAAATTTTTAACTTTAGAAAGTAAAAATTTTAAAAGTGGTAGAAAACGCATTCGACTGGTCTCTCGAAGACATAAACATCTAGTCTCTGCACGAGCACTGACAAGGTGTGGTTGCGGACAAGTCATATAGCCTCTTTCAGACTCCCCTCTTTCATATGGAACACAAAAGAGTCAAGCAATATGATTTCTACAGCTTGAGCATGAAAATCCAACAATTCTGTGATTTTCTGACTTACCTCGGAGATACTTCACTTTAAGATATTCAGGGCTAGCCTTCTGGCCTGGGAGAGGGTCATTCAGCATAACTTTTGTTTGTGCTTTTATCCCTTCATAAAACTGTCCCATGGCAACATGGCTGAGGCCTTTCATATACTGGCACACTTCATTATACGGCTCTAGCTGCAGACACCGCTGAGGACAAAATGCTGCATTAATATTAACACAGTTTAGAAAAACTTTGAAATGCTTTATTCTTTACTCTGGAATTAGTTTTCCCTCCAGGTAAATCAGACCTGTAAACCAGTCTACAGGGCTGGTTTGGGCAATGATTTCTTCTTTTTCTTTTTGTTGGAGTATAAACATTATTCTCAGTCCCCCTTCTCTGTTCATTTCACTAAACGTCACTGAAGAATAATTCAAGAACTCCAATTACAGTGTTCTTATTTATGGATGCTTACCTTAAAGTTCTTAAGGGCTTCCTGTAAGCTGCCGTGGTGGTAGAGCATCATTCCCCGGAGCTGGAGGGTTTGCACATGATTTTGGTTGAGCAACAATGCCTTTTGAAAGCTCTCTGTGGCTGCTTCAAAATTGCCCAGTTCTCTAGGTATTTATTACGAACACAGTATAAAAATTACAGGAAACACACAGAATAAGCTATCCTTGGAATTATGGACCAAAAGGTAAACAAGATACCTTGCTGGGGGTGTTCCTTTTGCTACTTTTTTATAGCCTCTGACACATTACATTACGCTTACTTCTAAATCTTAGCGGCTTATAGGATAACCACAGAGCTCTTGAAATTCTGTGAGGAAAATTCATCTCCTGATTTCCAAAGGCAAATGCTTATTCAAACCCCTCTCCCTGATTATTCATCATGAGTTCCAAACCTTAAAAAACCATGTGGAAATTTTAGTATACGGATAAAAACATAGTTTTCCTTTTTGGAAACAAGTATGCCAATTATTATCATACATGGTTTCAACATTCTCAGTCAAATTCATAGACTTAAAAATGCACCTTTTTTTTGTCATCGAAGGTACTTCACTTAAAATCTCGTAAATCATTATGTAATTTAGAATTCTGAAAAAAAGAAGTGTATTTTAGAATTGTAACCATTCCAGAATGGAAATGGTTGTTATGGATCAGTCTGCTTTTTATTTGCTTTTTAAATTTGTTTAGAAACCAGGTCTCACTGCATTGCTCAGGCTGAAATCAGCCTTCTGGGCTCAGGCGATGCTCCCACTTCACCTTCTGAGAAGCTGGGACCACAGGCACATGCCATGGCGCCTGGCTGATCATTCTTTTATATATTACAAAGAATATAAGTAACCTCAAAATGTTCTATACATCAATTCTCTATAAATGATGAATATTTAAAAAAATATAATTTCTGCTTATATTCATACAGCACTTTACAAGGTGCTTTCCAATCTGTTTTAAATTTCTGTTCAATAATTCGGTGAGACAGGAAGCATGAATATCATCCCTGAAACCCCAAAAAAATCCAAACACACTTTTTCCAACTCAGTATAAGAGCTTCTCAAACTATCCGACAAATAAGCTCTTGAATTTAATTCTTCCTGAATAAGGTACCTAACAAAGGGACTTTCTGTTGCTATCTTTCTTTTCTAGCTTTTGTAGCACCTTTACAAGTGAGAAGCCAGAAGCTCAGGGAAGTTAAGCACTCACACCCGCAAAATGACCAAGGCAGAACTAAGTCATAAGCTCCTTCACTCATGCCATCTTATCTCCTTTTCATAACAGAGTATAATTTTTTTTTGAGATGGAGTCTCACTCTGTCACCCAAGCTGAAGTGTAGTGGTTCGATCGTGACTCACTGCAACCTCTGCCTCCCAGGTTTAACCAATTCTCCGGCCTCAGTCTCCCAAGTAGCTGGGATTACAGGCACCCACCACCATGCTCGGCTAATTTTTGTATTTTTAGTAGAGACGGGGTTTCACCATGTTGGCCAAGCTAGTCTCGAACACCTGACCTCAAGTGATCCGCCTGTCTCACCTTCCTAAACTGTTGGGATTACAGGCGTGAGCCACCGGGCCTGGCTTGCTTTTTTTTTTTTTTTTTAAACCCAAAAGTTACAACAGGTCTATTCAGGCCAATGCATGCGGTCAGGAAGCCAAGTTCTAGTTACAGCTTCTCATTCTCAACAGACGTACATAAACTTTTCCATCCTTTCATTCTAGGACTCTTCAAAGAGATCATAGGAAATGTACCTTAGTTACTATCAAGAAGGTAGCAGCAGCAGCATCTATACCCCAATAGCTTATAATGCCACCACTGAAAACAACAACCCTTGAAGGATGAACATTTTCTAGACCAATACATACACTGAGGTTAAGAGAGAATACTGTGCATCATGACATCCTCTGATATGGTTTTTTCTACGTTTCAGAGAAAATATCAACAAGTCTATACATACTTGTGCAACTCAAAATACCCATCTCCTTTGGTTAAGAAATACTATTTCTTTTAAAATATTATGTGAAGCTATTTTGTCTCCCCACTCTTCACCCTCCCTCCTACCCCAACTATTATTATTTTACTCACCTATAGGCCTGTCCTAGACTTTTATATGCATCAATAAAATCAACTTTCTGCTTCAAAGCTTCTTTGAAGGATTCAATAGCTTCCTGTAAAAAGTGCACAGAAAATTATTTCATTTGCATAACTGTTAAAATTGAGTTTCACTCAAATCATAAAAGGATTTAAATATATATCCTACATAGTCTCTGACAGGTTTTATTTTAAATAGGAGGACTTTTAAAGAAGAGAGGCAGAAAATGCAATAAACTATAAGTCAGAAGGATTTAATTTCAGTAAACAAATGCAGTACTATGAAAAATAAGAGCCTTAAATTTCTCCCCTTTACAATGAGAAATTGGCTTTCCATTTTATCTACTTTATTACTTGCTATTTCATTAAAACTTTGAATACTAATCATTTCACCTTCATATTATTAATATCTTGTCCTTAATTAATAAAGGCCCTAGGACAAAAAGTAAGCCTAACTGCTATGTGAAGTAATTCAAAGTGATCATAACTAGCAACATTTAAAATTGAACCAATGAGAGACAAAAAAGGAACCCCAGTGTGAAACTGTTTCTAAAACAAGCAAAAAGGCTCCTAGATTCGCCATCTGAAGGACTCCCATGATCTACACGGAAAGAGGAAAAAGTAAAACAAAATATAACAACAACCTTAAGCTGGAGGTATTTGGGGTTAGCTTCTGTCAGCCTAACACCAAGTCTGTGGCTAAGGAAGTGAGAACCGCTACACAGGCACTATGCTTTGGGAAGCTATCCTTGGAAATGCGTGGTGTACTTGGGTACCGCCTAACTCCCTCTCCATCTAGGAAAACTACTAATAAAATGTATGATTATATTTAAGTAGAAACCACCTAGGCTTAAGCCAGCATTAAATGTACTTTTCACTGTGACTTATACAATGTAATAAAAAAACTATAAAGACATAGCTTACTAATGCTTTTCCTAAAGAAAATACATATCTTACTAAAGTTACCTGCTATAAAGCATTCATGATCTCTCATAGCTTTAATGCAAAAGACTTGACTTTAGATAATTTTACACCTGATTAGATAATTCACAGAAGAAAACTGCTGAAGATGTCACATACCCTGCACATGGTAGGCACTCAATAAATATTTAATGATTTGGGAAGGCACACAAAATTGTTTTGTAAAAGCAGTACAATCCTAACTCTTTTCAAAAAGGCATTCATTCCCTGCACCCCGATTTTCTCTGGAAGGGAGACAGCAGGACAAGAGAGGCTGGTGTGCAAACTCTTCAAAGGTAACAATGGGACAACAATCTACCAATTAAGGACTCCTGCTGAATATCTACTGTTAGGTAGAAAGATGAGAATGGATAAACTTTAACATTTCAGAAATGTTAAAGATCACTTTTAGTTAGGCTTCTGGCCATGGTGTAACCTTGATCTTTTAAGATTTTACCACTACATTCTTAATTCAGTAAACATGCATTGAGTGCCTACTATGTGCCAGAGACAGCGTGAGGTACAGGGAGGCAAGGATGAGCCAGTCATTATCTCTGTCCTCTAAGAATGGAGTCTAGTTAGAAAGCCAATTGTGTCACCAGGTTACTGGAATACAAATTAAGAGCTACAATAGAGATGTAAGTCTCTGGGAATGAAGAGAAAGAAACCACTAACTGAGCCTGGGGTAACAGAACAGGCTTCAGGGAGGAAGTGACAACTGAGTGGGGTCTTGGAGAATGAAAAGGAATTTGGTAAAGAAAGAGGGCGCTTTGCAGAGGGCAAATAGTACTGTACAGTGGCACAGATCATAGAAACAGGAAATTCAGTGAGGCAGGAGTGCAGGGTGCATGGGTGGGTGCAGGAGAGGGAAAAGATAGGAGACCAGACTAATGTGGGAAACTGGGCCAGGAAAAGAAGGGCCTCCGGGGCCACGCTGTGCAGGCAGTGAGGACTAAGGGGCTTCACATAGGTGCATGACCTCAGGAAATGTACTTTTTAGAGATGATTACTACAAGCAGCAACAAAGACAAACTAGGGAGGGAAGAGAATGGAGACAGGGAGCCCAATTAGGGAGCCGCTGCAGTAGTTGGGGCAAGAGATAATGAAAGCTCAAACTGAGAAAGTGTCTCTGAGGAGAGACAAGAAGGGCCCCTCAGGAGACATTTTGAAAGGCAAACTACAACAGAGTTTGGTGGCTGCCTGGGTATGGGAGGGAGATGAGGGATAAGAAAGGGTAGGAAGCTTTTAAGCTGAACAGCCTGGGTGGGTGGCAAGAGCATTAACCAAGTAAGGAAGTAGAGGAGAAAGGGCAGCTGCAGGTGGGGGTGGGGTGGGGTGGGAGGGGATAACGAGCCCATCGGGCGTGTTAAGGCTGGAGTGCTTGTGGACAGCTAGGTGGAGACGCCCAGGGGGCTGCCCACTCCACTTACAGCATGCTTGGACGCCACAGTTCTTCAAAGTCTGATTTCTCTTCAGCTTTTAAGAGTCTTTGGTTTCGGGGTTCCTGTCTAATCACTGCACAGCTTTCTACCTCATTCTGCCAAAGAGGGGACATAGTAGAATCAAGATTTTAAGGCGTTGGGAACAAAGAAACTGCGTTTGAATGAATCAATCTCTAAGCATATGGACTGGCTCTGAATAAATTTGCTTGGCAAATGCCATCCCACCACTTTCAGTCCCCATCTTTCTTACTAGTGGACGGACAACCACCACCCTAGGGCTGTTCCTTATAACTAAGAGAACATTCTCAGGTAACTCTCAAAGTGAAGGCTGGTAAAAACAGGTGCTCAGGATACATGGTTTGTGAAATATCCCTTACAACATAGATAAAACGATGGGATTCAACAGAAAAGTTTTTGTTGTTGTTTCCCTAGGAAGATACGAAATGCCTGCTATAACCCCTGAAGTGGATAGTTGTGAAATTTGTAATGTAACATTGCCTAATATACTTCTAACGTATTACATCATAAAGTAAATAAGCAATCACCCACTTAATTAATTTCTAAATTGCTATTGGCCAAGAGAGACCACCTTCAGGATACAAAGATAGCTCAAACTCATTGGTCCATTTAATACTTGTCTCTATGGTTAACAAGAGAAATAGGAAAATCTGGACAAAGTTCATTTATTAATTCAGCCACTTCACTACCAACTCAGTTTTCCAATCTGTATAACAGGGATACCCTCCATTTCTATACCTCATGGGGACACCGCTGGATGAATGAGACAATTAAGTAACCACTTTAACCTCCTAAGACAGAGGATCTGTAAAAACGCCAAGAAAGAGTTTCCATCTATTATACTTGCTGATGCTGAGCATGGTGAAAAGGACAGAAGGCCAAATAACTTGGTAAGACTAGTTTGCTGAGGGGCTTCTGATGCTCAAAATGAAAGCACTGTTTCTAGGTTCTTATCATGCAGATCTAAAGGAAATCAAACTGAATTGCAGTTCTTGTGCACTTCCTACTTTCTCTTTTCTCAAAAATTTTCATTTTCAAATACCACAAAGAGCCCTGTCCATGTTCCTAAACCTGGCTTTACAGTAACAATGTTAAAAGCGAAATCATTTGTTTGCATTTGTTTACTTTTAGAAATATTTTCAACCTCTTAATACAAATAGGTTGACATTTTTTGTATTTCTAATCTTTTCCTCCTCCATGAGATATCCTAGAGATATAATTCGAGTAGAGTGCTGAGGTTTGGAATTTTTTTAAATTTAAGGTGACTGTCAGAGATGACGAGAAGAACGGAGGGCAGATACAAAATAAACCGGAGAAGTCCATCTGTCAGCTGCTCAAAGCATGTTTTAAGAAATTGCTCTCAAAGCCTACAGCTGCCAGTCTGAATTCTGAGGGCTGAGAGGTCTTTATTAGGGGTATCCTCCACATACTTCCAAAAGGAATGTGAGGTTTATGAAATAGAATCTGCAAAATTCCTTTTGGTTTGGTTTTTAGTGGGACGGGGGACTTTTCTTTTAGAAAACTGTAAAACTTTAAATTTTCACAGATAAAATAATCTATAATAATTAATACTGGATTCCTGTGTACAGTTTACAAAGTACTTTTCACATAAAGTATTTTATTGAATCCTCATGATCACTCAAGAGGCAGAAAGTAGAATTGTTTCCGCTTCATAGACATGGAAGGAGAAACTGACTGTTCATGGAGCTTGGAGCAAGAGTTCAAACCAAGGCCTTTAAACACCAACTTCAATGCTCTGTCCTTGAAATTCATTTTTCCACTAATACGTATTGAGCACCTACTATGTGACAGGCACTGTCCTTAACACTAAGGGATTGAAATGTGAGGCCTTTTCACAGGTAAACATTCTTCCCACAACCCAAATATATGTATGTCAGATCCTCAAACCACTTTCAGTAATAAAATGTCTGTTCTTTCTGTCAGAATACACATCCCTGCCACACACTACTCAATTTCTTCACAGCCGTCAAAGTTCTTGTTAAGTACCACCTTCTGGGGCTCCTATCAGAATGAACTGCTTTTTGGCTGTGCAGACTGACTGTATTTTGCTCTCAGGCCCATCTGTCTTCCATCAGATAGCTTGGATCTGTCCTGTGTGAGAGCACCTACCATGGTGCCTGGCCTTGGGAGGCACAGAGCAGGCCCAGATGAGAGAGGTAGCTGCCCGTCAGGTTCCAGGCCCCCGGCTCCTGGCACAAGCCTTCTCACAGTGGGTTCCCCACACAGACTCAGGACATGGAATCGAGTGCCGGGGCAGAAGGAAGGGCCAGGCTGAAGGCCACATTTCTGCCCATACTATCGGTCAGTTCAGATAGCTTTCCTGTTTCCCTCTACCTCCTCTGCCCAACAGTCATGCGGTCATCAGGCGATACTAATACGGTCAGTCTCAGAAGGGTCTCCCAACCTGTTCCTGTGGTCTCTCAAGAGCTGGGTCAAGTTTCACGGCCACTGACCCAGACCCAACCAATATCACCTGGTCAGTCCTTCTGTACCTCATCTCCTCAGCCACCACGCTATCAGAATCTACATCCTAAATTACAGATTTGGTCTCAATGCTGGAATCTATGCATTTTGTCAATCTAGAATGGATAGCTCTTCTGGCCTGCAAATTTAAGTCAAAATGCTTAGCCCAGTACTCTAGGATAAGGACCTGCCCTCCACCAGCCTTCCAGCTTCATCTCCCTGCAGCCATACCCAACTACTTCCCACTCTGTGAACTGACCATGTTTTCGCCTGCCCGTTTTATCACCTAGGCTTTCCTCTCTGCCTGAAGGGCTTTTCTTCCCCCACCTCCAACACCTAATCCTACTCAGCCTTCCAGGTCCAGGACAAATTCACCTGTTCTCTGGAACTTCCTCTAACTCTGCAGTCCCAATGAATCTTTCTTATCTACATTTTCAAAGTACTTTGTTTATATTAGGTTCCTGAGTATGTTTACCATATGATAAATTACATGTGGAAAAAGGTTTGCGAACTGTATCCTCTATAAAGGTAAAGTATCATTTCTCCCACTTATTAACCTTTGATCCTTTCCCTCTCTGTTTCTCCCTCCAGGAACCCAGCAAACAGTAGGAGTTCAATAAAAAATAATAAACATGCTGATTCAGACTACCTTCTACATCAGACCAGCCATCAGTCAAACGAAATTCCTCCCACCCACAAAAGAGAAGCAGAGTCATCATATGGTACACATATGCACAACACTTTCACCTTCAGAAGTCCTCTGTGAAAGAAAGTTAAACCTTTGTATAGCATAGCTATAGGCTGGTTTTTGTTCAGTTCTAAGGACTGCTGAAAGTCTTCATGGGCTGTTGCATAGTCCTACAAGAAGGAGAGTGGAGGAAAAAATAAAATAGTATTCATTAGATATGTGAACATTTCCTTAATTTTGATTGGTAGAGAAAAAAATCTCAATTCATCCTCTGCCCTTTTTGGCTTTAAAGGAACATTTCATCACAATATATATTAGTTAAATGCTTATACTACTCATTCAAATAGTTGGAGTTTTTTAAGAAAAGCAATTGTGAGAAAAACTCACAAAGGTTTAATTTAAGCACTCTATCTCAACTGCAAAAAAATTTATCTCAAATACTGTTGAAGAAATAATCTGTTAGAGAAACTTCTGGGACTAGCATTTTATCACACTAGATATTTCCAAAATAATTATGCCACAGATTAACATTAAAATGTGTTATGCTGAGACTCTTCTAATATATTTTCTTTTTTTTTTTTTTTTTTTAGTCGGAGTTTCACTCGTTACCCAGGCTGGAGTGCAATGGCGCAATCTCGGCTCACCGCAACCTCCGCCTCCTGGGTTCAGGCAATTCTCCTGCCTCAGCCTCCTGAGTAGCTGGGATTACAGGCACGTGCCACCATGCCCAGCTAATGTTTTGTATTTTTAGTAGAGACGGGGTTTCACCATTTTGACCAGGATGGTCTCGATCTCTTGACCTCGTGATCCACCCGCCTCGGCCTCCCAAAGTGCTGGGATTACAGGCGTGAGCCATCGCGCCCGGCCAATATATATATTTTCTTTTGCACAGAAATTTGTTATTTAAAGTATGATAAGTCACAGAAACAATTGTGTGGCTTATCGTACTTTAAATAAACCATACTCTACTCACAAAATTACTGGCAGCAGGCTGCAATCCTTGATCCCATATACTAAAGCCACTCTGATGATAAAAGACAATCTTGTGAGGCTTGGGTCACTTACAAAGAGAAGCGGCAGTCTGGAAAGCCATGCTAGTTCAGGGTATGGTTCTTGGGTTGTGAAACCCAAAGAAATTCAAATTGTACCTCTAAGTTTAATAATCACATTGACAACATGCACACCTGCTTGCCTAGGATGGCATTTGCAAGAAAGATAGACATACAATCCACAAGCTAAATTTCTCTTTCTCTTTCTTTTTTTAAATGCCAGTCCAGAATTAGTTATTGCTGACAGCTCAAACAAGAAAATGTGTTTTTAGTACTTAATGCTCTCCGCTTAATGTTAATTTCAGCCAGAGAAAATGCTTTTATAACTCTAAGGACACAGACATATTACTAAACGGCCAAAGCCCAAATCCAACAAAGAGTCGCTTTCTGGGGTCCAGGGAAAAATCAAATCTTCATCATCATAAAAAGAAATACTTCAAGACAAAAATAAGTCACCTCTGATATGAAGTACAGGGTTCCCCGATGTCTGTACAGCCGTGCTGAGGGCTGCAGCTGAATAGCTTTAGTGAGGTCATTCACTGCTTCATTAATTCGTCCCAGAGGGGACAGGATCTAGAAATCCCAAACATGTAATCAGGAAAAATACCAGTGATCAACCCTAAAATCCCAATGTTTTTGACTCTTCAATTCCACTTCACCGTACTCCACTCACAAAATTACTCTCAGCAGGCCACAATCCTTGACCCCATATACTATGCAATGGGGTTCAAAGTCAACCAGCTGAGGTGCCACTAATCTTTGTCCAGTCAAGCAGGAGGCTGATGAACTATGACTGCAGCAACTGCCTTGTCACTATTTCACATTCTGGGTTATACCACATGTTGCTTTTCTTGTAATATGATTTTTTTTTTCTTGACTTCATCTGTTAAATCAAAATTTGGCATATATACACAAAGACGTCAAAATTAACCTGAAAGATAACTTTGAACCATTAAAATAGACAAATTATTGGACACAGATTAAAGTCCTCTATGGTCTTTAGCTCTGTTCTCTATGTAAGAAGAGCTGAATGACAACTTCTAAGATTCCAGACGCTCTTTAAACCCTTTTGTGTAACAACTTTTAACTCATGAGTCATGATCTACAGAGGAGGAGGAAGAATATCTGCAAGCCTGTTTGGAAAAGCTCTTTTGAGCCAGCAATCAGTTGTATTCAGGCAACGTGAAAATACAGAAGACAGTTCAGAATGCAAACGTAAACCAAAAAGACATAAGAAAATCCAAAATGGGTATCAGTATTCATGCAATCAAGCCCAAGCACTTTATCCTGAATAAACGTCCTTAAATTAGGGATTATTTTGTTGTTGTTTTAGAGACAGGGTCTCACTCTGTCACCCAAGCTGGAATGTTGTGGCACAACCATAGCTCACTGTAACCTCGAACTCCTGGGCTCATGCAATCCTCCTACCTCAGCCTCTTTAGTAGTTTGGGCTACAGGGTTATGCAATCATACCCTGCTAATTTATTTTTTAAATTTTTCTGCAGAGGTAGGGAGTCTCACTACATTGACCAGGCTGGTGTTGAACTCCTGGCCTCAAGGAATCCTCCTGTGTTAGCCTCCCAAAACTTTGGGATTACAGGTATAAGCCATCATGCCCAACCTATTCTGTCCTTATTATACAGGTTATTTCTACCAAATTTTACTGATTTCCTACTCTACAGAACTATAAAACCAGCAAAAGAGAGGATTCAGGCAGGCCTATCACTAATAGTATGCATGACAGCTCAGAAAGAGGAAAGAAATTGAATATATGTCTGAGAATTCAAAAAGCACAGTGGGCTGGGGTTGTGTTTGGGAAGGAAAATCATCCCTCCCTGGGTTATCAACCCCTAGGTGTCTAATTGAATCATCATACCCCAGCACAACAATCAATATGCATAATAATTAGTAACTTTAAAAAGTTAACTTATGTTCATCAAATATAGAGTATTTCAGAAATCATGAAAGTGAAAGATTTCTCATAAAACGACTTCGGACATATATAAATGGTATGTTATAATTTAGCTGGAAAATTCAGTATGTAGTAACATTATTGCCCAATAATGCCAGAAAATGAGAATATTATTAGACATTTTTAAGACAATTAAAAATTATTTTTCTAATTACCAATGCCATTTTGGATAAACAATTAGCTTTTTATTAGATATGCAAATTTTAAAGTCCTTTTATATAATTCTTACCTAAGTATACTTAATTTAATTCATGATTTACCAGATTTTAACATAAACCAGAGTAACAGAGAGGAAAAAGCATCAGTCCCCTCTCCCAGAAGCAACTGATTACCAAATTTGTCACCAAATTAGCCACTAAACACCAACTAAATACCAGCAAGTCTCATGCAGGGATAAACTATAGTCAACCCTTAGGGTTACAATTCAAAATAGATAAGAGGTAAGAGGTAAGAAATTAAATCATTCACTGAGAAAGATTTTATTCAAAAAGCCAAATCCCCAACAAAACATAAAATTCAGTTTAAGAGACTGAACTGTAAGACACAATAATCTTGAGAACAAAAATATCGTAAATATAGTTTTTAAATTCCTACACCCTTAGCACTTCCTTAACTAGTTTTCTCTTTCAAAAGAGAAAATAAAAGTAATTTTTTCTTTAGTTCAACTATGAGATCATATCAGATAATTAAAAGTTGTTTTATTCAGACTAAATACATTAACACATATGAAGCCTAGATCGCTTATTATTTTAAGAATGTAAAATAAACACATTTCACTTAAAAACATTAAACAGAATGCCTTTGTACAGAGTCTCGTCCATGCGCTGTACACTCTCCTCCATCGTGTCCCCACCATACCATGGGATTGGATCAGCCCTAGCTTCACTTCCTCCTATGGCCTCAGCAAACACTCCCGACATTCCCCTTCTCTTCCTAAAGAAGTGCCTCCTCTGTCTACTTGAGCCAGTATTACATGGCATCTTCACCACATTATCTCTCTGTCTCAAGAACTTCAAGTTCCTTTAAGATGTGGCTGCAATCATCCTCACTTGATCTATGTATCTGTGCAGCTAGGTCTATCTCATAGGAATTATATTTAAGTTGTTTGCACACATATTTGACCTATGTATCTATGCAGCTAGGTCTATCTCCTAGGAATTACATTTAGGTGCTTACACACATATTTGATCTATGTGTCTATGCAGCTAGGTCTATCTCACAGGAACTATATTTAAGTGCTTGCACACATACATATCAGCAGAATGAACGCTTCCAAGGGCTGTGAATTCCAGTTTCACCAAACTCCCAGTCTTGCTAAAGTATGTCACATAGACAGTAAATATTATGTGTTATATTTTTCAGTGAATATCTATAGAAGTACTACATGTCATAACCACTATTTTCATACTAAATATTACTCTTCTATGTTAGTTCAGGAATATCACGCAGTCTACAGTTTTCTAGTAATTTCAACCATGTTTAAAGGCATTAAGTACCTACATAGAAAAACATAAGAGTTTTAAGGGAGCATTAAAATTTACAAGTAATAAAATAATAGGAAAAAAAATTGAGATTTGACTAACCCAATAACGACAGAGGGAAAAAGAAAACCACACTCACTTCTGCTCGCTGCTCAAATACCTCTGGACGATCTGGTTCCAAGGTAATTACTCGGCTCAGTTCGAACAGAGCAAGCTCAGCATTCTTAATGTCCTTGAAAAGGCATTAGCTTAGTATGAGACATACTGTTACTCAAAACCAGGCTGAAAAGATTTTCTGAGAAAACTAGTAATTTAGTAATGATATAACCAATTGTTTAGAAATAAATATGAACTTCACTTCTATGAAAGAGATGTGCCATGTCAAATCAGTCATGATATTACAATTATTTAACTCACTCAAGTCTACCTACTTACTCAACAATAACACGTTAGACCCGGCTACCTATCACAAGTTCCACAGATGGCAGGATATTATCTACACTTAATCTGCTTAAACATGGAATCAACGAATCTCAATGGATGAGTACATGGATACCAGCACGTGAAATGATGCTGACTGGTGGCAATGGGGGAACAGAAATGGATCAAGTCAGTGTCTAATAAAAACATAAGCCTATAAATCTATATCTTAAGAAGCTTAGGTAAGTTCTCTTTAACATTTGCATGTTACTTTTACATTAAAAATGCATGTGTAACTTTTTACTAAATATACAAGCAAATTTAATATCAAGAACTATAATTTTAAAAGCAGAGAATTAGGAAGAGGCAGCTCTGAACTTTGCTAGCACAACTTCAACCTGGTCATTCACTGATGCTCTGAGTGCAATGTCATTTCCTTCCTACCCATTTCCATCATTCCCAATTCCGAATTCATTCTCAGTCCTCTATGCCTCAGAAGTATATAAACAGACAAAGATCTCCAATAGGCCAGCACAAGGTTAGTACAATATTAATTTTAATATTTTATAAATTGTAATAAAAAGGTTAAACATTTTAAATATTTTTAATGTAAAAGTTGCAAAAGTGGTATTTCTTTCTCAAAGCACAATTTCACACAAATATTTTTAGTATACAGTAAGACAATAGAAAAAGTTTGCATATAATCTCCTAGACTAGGAAAGCTGAACTTACACCATTTTGTGATTTACTACATAATTTCAGCAGTCTTCATTTTTATATTGTGGTACCTTTTTTCACGTAAAACATGATTATTATAGTCCTCCTCCAGCCTTTCTCAGAGAAATTAAGGGGAATAATTTGATTATAGCTACAAAGATATTACACCTATCTGCAAAAAGTATAAAATATAACAAAAATAAATGTTACACGCCTAAAGAAACCTTTTGTTCTTTCATCAAGCTTTAATAATTGTGAAGGGAACTCAAATTCTAAGTCCTACTGCACTATTGATACCCAGTCTACACTTCGACCATTAAATGTCTCTTAGGAATACAATCAGGGTCTCATGCTTTTCTTAGTCTACATCCAGTTCATCAAAGTTGACCCCAGATCTGGGTGGAAATCCCCAGTCCACCACTTACTAGCTGCCATTTTCTCATCTGTGAACTGGAACCATAGATACCACTCCATGTCCCATCAAGGGTCAATGAACAGTAGCAGTGCTAGCAAAACCCTGGTCTGTGTCAGGTCATGTAGGCGCTATGGCAATCATAACTATTACATACTCACATGTAGTCCCTTCTTTCCATAGGCTATCCCTCGGCCATAAATTGCACTAACCAGATCAGGCTCCTCCTAGTCAGACCAAAACAGAAACACGTCAAAAACCATAAACAAAACAAAACAAAACAAAAAATCAGTTTCTGCTTAAAGCACATTAATGCCACAAGTGACAGCTCTACTTCTTTATGCTACAACCACTCATAAGTCAATACGCAGTCTCCAACCTGAAACGTCTATGTTCTTAAAGCTAATTTGAATGAAATGTGATAAAAGTTTCATGTTGAAAAAAAATAATAAAGAGAGGAGAAGGGAACCAATATTACTGAGCAACATGCCAGTTTCTTTCAAAGAGTCATCTTATTTAAAATGCAATCCTCTCAACAACTCTGGCAGCATCAGCAATCATGTCTTACAGAGGAGAAGACAGAGGCTCAGAGGGGTAAAGAGATGTGAGCAAAGGACTGGGTAATGCCTTTAACGCGTGTGTTTCCTCTCACATATCCATGAAATAACATGAAAAGGAAAGAATCACTCAGTGCCAACACAATGGACTAGAAATGAGTCTGCACTGAAATCTGTTGGAGATGAATACAACCCTGCATACTAATGGGTTAAAATAAAAAACAGACCCTTTTTGCAACCTGTTCTCATGCTCTCTCCTGCTATCCTGCAATCCAAATGGGGTGGAGGAAACACCTATTGGGACCAACGACAAAACATCTGTTGACCCTGGCCATTGAGTCCTTACACCCAGGTTAGTTGGTAAGTGAATGAAATGACTCTCATCTACATTTAGCCTCTACAATTTTTACTTCTTTGAATGGTTCACTATATGGTTAAAAAAGAAGAAACAGCTGCCTCTGGCTATAAGGTCCTGGGTGGAAGTCTTGCACTGCTAAGGTATTTAACAGAACAGCACTAGATTCTCCAGAAAAAGTCTCTGCAAAAACCTGATAAAGTTACAATTCTGAGCTAGGGTATCTGCCAGACATTGTTCAGTTTCAATTCTGAGCTAGGGTATCTGCCAGTATTGTAGAAAATGAACGCAACTACTTCAATGATGAGTAAATGGCAAAAAATAAAGGAGAAGATAACATGTATTTAAATTTTCTTAAAGGCTACTCAAATGGAATGAGATGCATCTATACTCAGTGGTAAACTGGCACATCACTGGCCACAACCCAGACAGCAGATTGGACTACATGGTATATGAAAAATTGCAAAAATTCAACTAAACAATTTGAGGTTTCTAGCTTCTCTTAGAACATCAAAAGATCCAACAAATACAGGCCCACATGTTGGCATTCTCACACAGCAATAAATAAGTGACCAGAGCTAAGCACTAGCTTTCTCTTGATGAGAGGTACATGCTCATCAGTTCACCACAGGGCCTACCCATCACTACCACACTGCACCAACTCTCATTGCTCACGTTACCTCCCTGGCCCCTACAAATTTCTGGATTTATGATTTATAACTTATATATAACTGGCATAGAGGTGCTCATGCTATTTGCTGAGAGGGGAAAAAAGTACACATTATAGATCTACAGAAGGATGGGAGTTACATTTCATAAATCATATGTGATTGTGTGAACCATTATGTGCACAGAAAGAAACTCTCCAAAATACTACCAGGAATTTCCTCTGGGGAGTGAGATTACTAGATATAGTCCCATTATACTTAATACATTGTTATATTTCTGTTAATTGTTTAAAACAGACATGTTCATTTATAATCGGAAAAAAATGTTTAAATTATACACGTTTCACTGCAAAAATTTAGAAAATGAAGAAAAGCAACGAGCAGAAAGTAAAGGGTGCCCTATAATCCTCCCCCCAGAGACAAGCACTTTTAAACATTTAAGTATTCTTCCCGGCTTAAAGGAAGGCAGAACAAGTGGTTTGGATGAAAAAAGAATACAGGTATAAGGGGGAAAAGGGAAGCAGGAAAAAAGGGAACCTCCTGAGGAATTAAAAGTAAGACTGGCTTCATGTTTTTCCATGGCAAAAAAAGCCAGAAGACAGAACAGTCAACAGTTGAACAGAACCCTGGCCAGGCTGGGGTGGAAGGCGGTGAGCCCAGCAAGCTCATCCTCTAGAGCAGGGGTGTCCAATCTCTTGGCTTCCCTGGACCACACTGGAAGAAGAATTGTCTTGGGCCATATATAAAATACCTTAATACTAATGATAGCTAATGAACTAAAAAAATAATAAATCTCATAATATTTTAAGAAAGTTTACAAATCTGTGTTGGGCCACAACCAAAGCCATCCTGGGCTGCATGGAGCCTGTGGGTTAGACAAGCTTGCCTTAGGATAACATATGTCTGCAGGAAGAACCAAACCTATGCTCAGATTTGTTACAGTTCAAAATATATTATCCAAACCCCTTTTCTCCTAACTGAGAAAAAAGTTTACTCTAGATGACCAAGAGGTGAATCAGAAAAAGGTGTCAGTAAACAGTTATTCTACTAACATGAATGGCATCCCTGCACACCCGTGGCCGGGGCTGGTGCTCTGACATCTTCCTGCCCTCCAGCTCACACACTCCTCATCAAATCCTGGCCCTCTCATCTTCTGAACAGATCGGGGTCCTCCCGCCCACTCTATCAGCCACTGCCCTGTTCTAAGCCTTCCACTCTCATCTAGGATACTGTGATCACCTTACCTGAGATTCTCCACAGACACACACCAAGAGTTATCTTTCTAACACTAAAGTCTCATCACATCACTTCCCTAACTGAAATTATTCAGTGACTCCCCAACACCTAATACAGTGACATTCAAATTTTTTTAACTCCAAACCACTGAAATACTTTTTATATTACAACCCAGTACATACATATACATGTGTACAACATACACACACACGTATCAAAACAGTTTCACTAGCTTATACCTAGGACTTACTATACACAGTAGAATCTGATATTTTCATATTTCACTTTTTTATATATATATTTTATGGTGTTTTAGGCTTTGGGGTTATATTTCACTTTTAAAAAAATAGTGCTAATCTTGACTTGCCAATTAATTTCAGGACCCATTAAAGCGTAGCAACACACAATACAAAAAAAAAAAAAAAAAGGTAACATCTAAATGGTTTTGCAGAAAACATTAGTCATTTTCCTGCCTTATTGTTCAGCCTCATCTCCTTCCTCTTTTTTTTTCTTTTTGTAAAGACAGGGTCTCACTCTGTCACACAGGCTGGAGTGCAGTGGTGCAAGCCTAGCTCACTACAGCCTTAAACTCCTGGGCTCAAGCAATGCTTCCACCTCAGCCTTTCAGGTAGCTGGGCTATAGGAGTGCACCATCACATCAGGCCAATTTAAATTTTCTTTTTGTAGAGATGGGGGTCTCACTTTGTTGCCCAGGCTGGTCTCAAACTCCTGGGCTCAAGTGATCCTCCTGCTTCAACCTTCCAAAGTGCTGGGTTTACCAGCAATTTTAAATACGTTCCTTCTCCTTTATTCCCACTGTATGTTGTATGGATGTTGGCTGTTCATTCCACAATTATTTACTCAGGGCCTACTGTTAGCTGTATCAGGTTCCACATGCTAGGAATACCATACAAAGCCATGCTATTCCTGCCATGGACTACGAATAGCAAGCAAAAATCAACACAGAAGACAAGAGATTCATCTGTCAGATCAAAGTCAGCCCTGCTAACCATGTTCTTCCCAAAGGGGAAGCAAGCAGGACAACATGGCTAATAGTAGTAGGGTATAGTCCATGGGAAACAAGAGCCCGATCCAGGGTAACAGGAAGGCAAAGCTCTATGACAGATGTGCCACGGTGAATAATGTATGGTGGGCCTCCAGCTCTTGTGGCTGGAACATTTTGGTAGCAATAAAAATTTTAAGTTTAAAAAACAACCCGGCCATTCAAAAGTTTGCAACAGCTGAAATATCCGAACACTGACAACTTCCTAAAGGCAGCCATCATGATCTGGACTGTAGGACTGGATGTATGCCTCACACAGAGCCCCTTGCACAGGCCTCCCTCCAAGTCACCCCATGGTCTCATCATTACTACAGCACTGACTTGGTTACTGTGCTCATCTGTAATGTATTTAGGTTTCCTCTATCCAATTTTTCTTTCTTTTCAGAATGTTTTCCTAGCAGTCAGGAAGGACATGTAATTATTGTGGCTGTTATATCTACAGTCTAGTATTAAGCATTCCTAAATTTAAATAACAGATTTTATTACTTTTAAAAGTTGATGCAACTTTATTTAATTATTATTTTATCTATCATTAGCTAAAAATCCAAAAACTTATCTTTATGGAATGCCATAATAAATTATTGGGTTTTTTCCCCCAAATAAAAATCAATGTTTATTCCTAAAAACAAATTGGGCTCTGAAGAGCAATTTTTCAAAATATTTTTATAGTATTTATACTTTATAAAGTTTTCAGAAACTTTTTTTAAAGTTTCATTAAGAAGTTTCTATACTCTTAAAAAGAGTGAAATGAAAAAGATTACTTCAATCTTCCAATTTTACTCTATGCCACTGCAAAATCATGGTATAATAAGACAGTTGTCTAGAAGGTGTTGTGTTTACTTAGATGTCTCAATTTTCAAAAGAAAAAAAGGTCTAATATATCATCCTCATTTTATTAGTTATACAGTGATTTTAAATTTTACAGTATTTAGTGTATTTACCCCTACAAGGCTGGCTTTTTAAATTAAAACTGGAAACTCACTGGATCTAAAAACAAACAAGTCAAAACAGTCAGTACATAAGCAATGTAATGAGGATTAGATTTTACCTGAGTGACAGACACACATATTTGCATAAAGGATGTTATTAAAAATTCTATGCAGAGGAATGTTTTCAATTTTGTGTGCTAGTGTTAAATAGGAAATAATGTTCTTTTACAAATTTAGCTCCACTGGAATCAGATCAAAATCAGATGAGCTCAAGGTCACATAATGAACAGCAAAGGCCAAATTGCCTCATAAAATTGCTGAAGTATTTATGTTATACCCAGCCCTGCATGGGGACCAAAAAAGCACAGAAATTAGGAAAAGTTCTACTTTTCAATCCAAGAACACTATTATGGATGCACTGACACACGTGGAAGTGACTTCAGGGCACTGGCATAGAGACAACACTAACTCATAAACTTTAAAAATCAAGAGTTTCTAATGCAGACTGACATCTATTAAATCCTGTCATTGTGCTCAGTTAGAAACCTTGATACTTCCATAAAGGAAAATCAAACCACTGGGAATAAACATTCCAATAAACACTTTGAAACACCAAGGATTATGGAACTATTTCCCAGGTATGTAATCTGATGGTGAAACCAAGACAACAGGAAAGGTGTAAGAGTTTTACATCAAAAAGTCATTCTGGAGTTAAAGGATCCCTTATATGTAGATCTGAAATTCATATTAAATGATCTTATCAAAATAGTGATTCTAATAAAATCCAAGCCCCCAAGACCCCATTTGTTGTTTGCTTCTATGAACGGAATCAGATTCCATGCTCCGTTGCTTCATACTGGAGCTCACGAGCTGTCTTTAAAAAAAAAATTTGCCAAGAGTTAATGAACTCAAGAAAACTAAAAAATCTGTGCATGAATAGCTACCACTTTAAAGATTTGTTAAAGGACATTTACTGGTTTAAAAACACTGCAATTTTGCATATCTGGAAGGCCCTGCAAGGAACAGGTAAAAATATATTAGCATATACAAAGAAAAATGCTTCTCAAGTGATATGTAGTTCGATATAAGCTGAAGAATGAAAAACAGTAGAGCAACATCTATGTATGCTAGAAGAAAAGCTTCATCACTATTCTGAAATACTGGATATGAAAAAGTATTATTGAGATAAAAATGTATTTCATTACTGCAAGAAATATTATCACTACACTTGCCAACAGAAGAAAAAACAAACAAAACAAAAAAGAAAAGAGCAATGATTTAGAGAATAATCATACATGTAATATATAAAGAGAATGATTTATGCAAATTATGATTTATGATGAAAAAAGGAATTTTAATCAATTGGAGAAAAAGCAATAACTATTCTTTGGACATTTGTTCCCACCTACTTTTACAGTGTCTTGATGACACTGGCTATCAAGAGTTTGATAAAATCAACAGAAAAGTCAGACAGAGACTATGTGCATCAACTTCAAACATAAACTCTAATACAGAAAAGTTTTGTCCAGAAAAGTAGGGCCAAGTTTCTTATTAAAATTTTTGAAAGTAATTTTAGCATTTAACATCGAATCTTCATATTTTCTTCCTTTTTTTTCAGATACAGGTTCTTGCTCTCTGGCTGGAGTGTAGAATCTTTGGATTTTCTATTTCTTATCAGTCATATAATACAAGGAAAATCAAACAGATTTTCACACAGCTTTATCTGGATGGCTCCAAAGCTATTCTTGCTTACCCACGTGCCATGCAAATATTATTTCCACATGTGTCATGATGTGGAAAAAGCGGGAAAGCATCAAGATAAAGGGTAAAGAGAGAGAAATCACCGAGGAAAGCACCAGCAGGAAAGTCAAGGGCATTTTTGCTGCTATAGAAAAATATGTTATAAATGACCACCCAGTTAGTTCGTCTGCGTTTGAACTTTCCACTGCATTCATCCCTGCCCCATCAATAGTCTGAACTGCCAGCAAAACAGTCTAACATAATCCACACATTCTCAAAAAGAGATTTCCCAGCTGAAAGTAACTCACTGTATCACAGATCGATGAAAATGCAATATGACATTTCAAAACATTATTATCTTCTTTGCACAAAGAGAAAAATGCTAATATACTTTCTGAACACAATTGCATGAGAAATATCTACAACTATAAACAGACAAAACAAAGGCATATCATAGAGCCATTAAAATCACAAGACTAGAAAAATACTGAAAAACATTTACAGTATAGAATTAAGTGAAAAAGTAATATAAAACAGTACACATATCAGATTATAAAATAAATGCATACTTTGAAAAGGTATGAATAAAAAATTTAAACAATGTTAAAGTGGCAGAATTGGAAAATTTTTTATTATTGAAAATATTTTAACAGTGTTATATTGTCTTCAACCACAATGGTAATAATATTTTCAAAAAGTTGAATAAAATGACAATACATCTACAAACTCCTTCTATTTCTGCTGGATTCTATGCTCCACCCTGGTTGCCTTAAATTAACTGATATTTGCTCCTATAAATGTATCAAAACGTCCCTTTCAAACCAGGGTCAAGTGTTAACTGTGTAAAAGTGCTTGCTTACCTTTTATAACATTCCCAACCCTTAACAGAAAGGTAATTTTTAAAACTATTTATAGTCTACCCTTTGTACTTTAAATTCCACTGAACAATAGTATTCCACATGACCACCCAAATATAGTGCTGCTTGGATCCAAAGACCTCAAAGTAATAACAAAAAATATCTCATCAATTGTTTGAGAATCAAGATATTATCAATGTAATTAACCTTATTTTTAAAGAGAAAACAAAGCAAACTAAAATTTCAAAATTAATCATTTAAATTAAGTCTGCCTGCTAGATTGTAAGGCATTTGTTGGCACTTGCTATGATTAGCACAGATGAATATACACAAGAATGGTACTCTGACTAGCCAAAATTTACTAAGCACTTACTATGTGCCAGGCACTGGGTAGTAATTACTTTAACAGGATATTTCATTTAAACCAAAAAAGAATTTTTTTGGCGGTAGTTACTATTATCTCCATAACTCAGGAGGTTAAACAACTTTGTAGCAAGAAGCAGAGTGGATTGGAATTAAGGCATCTCTAGCTCTAAAATCCATTATCTTCTTCACTGTACTTTACTGGAAAGACACATCAACAATCACTAAATGGTTAGGCACCAACAGTGCATACAGTTAAATAATGATACAAGATATAAGGCCGATGCTGCTGGGCAGCAACTCTTATACACGCAGTGCTTGCATGCTTTATCTTAACCAGACTTTAGCGCAGCCACCAATCAGTAAAGACCCAATACTTCATTAAGGAGTCTCATAATTATACTTAAGGTGAAAAACATACCTATGAGTAGAAATTAAGTTAATCATGAAGATCAACTCCTGTGTGAAAATAAGTTGGAATTTCAAGAATTTCCAGTGTCTATATCTCGTGGGAGATACTGTGGTAGAGAGGAAAGTAAACTGAAGCTAATGTGTTTTTAAAGCTTGCATTTGAATCCCATCTCTGCAACTTGATGGTCGGGAGACTATGAGCAAACTGCTTGAGCTGATTAGATTCCCTTTTTCTCATTTAAAATGAGGTTTTATTTAAAATCTTTCATTTAAAAGATTAAATGAAAGCATGTCACAAGGCCTGGCACCAGGAAAGTGCTCAGTCATACCAATTTCTTTTGTTTTCTTGTATAATTTAAAAACATGTTTCATTACAGCACTTCAGCTATGCATTAGTCCATATTTTTATCATAACTTTAAACTTGAAATTATATAAATAAGAAGAAAAATTACCTGAAGCATTGTTGAAAAATGCCGTATTGCTTCATCATAGAGACCACTGCCAATCAAGACATAAGCAATAGCTATAAAACAAAATACAAAAATATTAAAGGAAAAAAATAAAGTAACTCAAACTAGAATCAATAACTAAATTCTTCGGTAAATCTCCAAAGGCAGCTCCAAGCACTGAAAGCAGTTAAAGAAAGCCTAGAAGTTAATAAGGTGCCATTGAATTCTTCTACTTTCATCACTCCGCACTTGCTAATCAGCCTTCCAATTCCATCTAGATTTAAATTGTTAAAGTCATCTATGAAATATCTGCCTACAGGAGATACTTATCTTTTTCTAAGCCCATCATTCATTTTCAAATCCCAAATAACCTTTGTGATGTCTCCTAGCTATCAAAAAAGCTAGTAATAAACCTAAATAATGTCCATCTAACATGGCAATGTGATTTTTACTGTGAATGTTATGAGAAATACCCAAATAGCATCACAAATATCAATTCCTGAGAGTGCTGAATTTTTTGCCAATTATCTAATAAGAACAAAAACAGGGACTCAAATTTGGTAACATAATGCTTAACTGTGGATAATGCACACCATTATAATGCAATGACAGTCTTTCTTCCCTTCAAAATATAGTCATATGCTACTCAAAATATATACTAAAGAATCATCTTTTATCACATTGTTTAGGAAAGTGGTATTTAGAAAACAGAGCCAGGACAATCTCTGAAAACACAGCAATATTCTGACTAAATTCTGCCACCCATCCAAAAAACAATATTTGAATCTTCTAGATTATATTAGCATCTACAATATTTGCCCTGACTGCTTAACCCTTAGCCCCCCTCCAAAAAAATCCCTGAAAAACATTTAATTCCTCAATCAATATAACTATTTTGATGACATTTCTTTGCAAAAAAAGCTTTCCTGTAAAATTTTACCTTTTAGGACCTAATAGGTGTTCAAGAAGATGGGCAATGAAAACTTTCACTGTCATTAAAGCTTCTATTTCCTGACAGTTAAAAATAGTAAAAACATTAAACAAAGCAGAAACAGAAATGAAATGTAGAAAGAGTTGAAAATATATTCATAAATCAATAGAGTAAAAATGAAGTTCAAATTGAGCACCACAATAATACAAGCACTTCTGGGGGCGTTCTTCAAAATAAAAAGAGAGCCCTTTTGCCCTACTTTTTTTGAAAAGATCAGTTAAGCCAAAATTCATGTTCAGAATGCTGACAATGGATACCATTCAGATAGCTAACCTCCAGGTAACCAGAGGATGCCTTCAGTTTTGGGGGTGGAAGGACGGGCAGTAATAGTAGTAAAAACAGTAGCAAGAATCATAGTAGCTACAGGCATTGTGTTCTTAATACAGTATGTGCCAGGCATAGTAATATCCTTTACCAGTATTAACTCATTTGCTCCTCCACTGCAATGAGGAAGGTACAATTATTAACCCATAAAGTAGTTAAATAAGCTGTCCAAGGACCACAGGCAGTGAGTCAGAGGAAAGCAGCAAGCTGCTTGGCTCCAGAGCCTAACCTCTCAGCCCGTGCCGTACGCTGAAACAAATCAAGGCTGCTCCCAAACCACTGTGCGCTGGAGGGATGGCCAAGTGGTTGAAATTCCTTAATGGTCAGATGAACATGGATAAAAACATACACTTGTACTTTTTTGAATACAAGAAGATGACGATAGATCAGAAAACCAAGATCTGGGCTTGGATTCTGGCTCTGCCACTCACCAGCCACATGACCACGGGGAGCTCATTCACTTCTCATAACTGTCTGGGTCTTGCTTAATAAGCCTGTAGAAGATTTTCTTAAAGACTCCTTTCAAATCTAAATTTTTATTTCCTATCTATCATCCCATAATGAGTAATATCTATTGAATGAACAAATCAATCAATGAGCCAGCCATAAAAACAAGTATGATTTTCAGAAATAAATTTTGTAGTTTAGAACATATTTAGATGGCTATCCACATCTAAGCAATTGAATTCCACTCAAAATCAAATGCAGTTTTCAAATATCTCCACCTAAAACTCAACATTTTGTGAACAAAACCCAGAAATATGTATTAATAAAAGAATAATCATAATACAAATCTTGTACAAATACAAATAACAATTAGGATCTAAATTTTGTTATAGGAGTCTAAAGACATAAAGGAAAAGCTGCTATAACTGGACTTTCTCAGAAATCTCTACTTACCAGCAATCCCACATCTCCGAGCAATGTATATGTTCACAGATATCATTTTTTCAAGAAAAAATACTGGGTACAAAAGATCACAGGCCAGCTCAGGGCCTATGCTACCCCAGGGTCTACTAGAATTATTCTTGGAGAACAGAACACACCTAGCACATATCAAGCCCTGAATTCATTGTTTTAATAAATAAACACTACGCTAAGTGGAATCCAAGGACTTCAGAAAAGACCAGATCTGATGCCTTGAAGGACAATCCTCAAAGCCTCCTCAAAGAAAATCACCATAAAGTGATTCACATTTCCAAAATAGTCAGCACTCTGGGAGGCCAAGGTGGGAGGGTCCCTGGAGCCCAAGAGTTTGATACCAGCTGGGCAATATGGTGAGTCCTGGACTCTATAAAAAATTTTTAAAAATTAGCCAGGCATAGTGGCATGTACCTATAATCCACCTACTCAGGAGTCTGAGGTGAGAAGATATTCCAACCCAGCTCAAGGCTGCAGTGAGCTATAATTGCATCACTGCACTCCAGCCTGGGCCACAGAGCAAGACTCCACACTAACAGGAAAGAAGCCAATATAAAGAGCACTTAGTCTTAATATCAAACATGTATGGCCATGGTAAGGATAAAATAATTATGCATAAATTAGATAGAAAAGAATTCCTGCAGGTACTTTGGGTGACATGTGAGAACGTGCTTCAATAGTCTGTCTGGTTGCACTGCTCAGCCCTGTATTCAATTTATCTCCACTTCTTCACATGTAAGCTCACTAGACAGTAAGGGAAATACACCCAGTGCACATCTGACACTGATAAAACCAGCCTGTTTTAAAACATGCAATGAACATACCAAACTATGTGACTCATGCTGATATGAATGAATTCAATTTTTCTACACTCACATTCTTAGACCCAAAAATAACTGACTAGCATTATGAGTAAAATAGCTTAAACATAGCTATTTCACTACATAGAAAAGCAGGTAGTTTGAGATTCTATTCTGCTTTCACTTCTTCATTGCTCACTTCATTGCTCATCTGATGACAGCACACAAATAGCCTATTACTGAATAGGAACAGCTCATAAGAGCTCATTACCATAATTATTAATTTCAATAGAAATGGAGAGCTGGAACAGATTATTCCATCCAAACCTTTTTTTTTTTTTTTGGACATATAATAAATGGAACTTCACAAGGCTGAATGTTCTATGCAAGATCAAGCAGCTCAAATTGGCAGAGCCAGTCTCTGTGTTCATTATACCTAACCATCCTGCCTTCCTGTTAACGCGTCTCACCAAAAAATGGAGGCAAATATTACAGAAATATTCCCAGATTCGAGTCTTACCTAACTCTTCATTTGTGCTGTCATTATCAGTGGCAAACGGGAATCTCTTTTGTTCTGCAATAGACTTGGCCTGGCTCTGAGGGGGGAAAAACATATATATTTTAGCTTATCACAAATAAAGAAAAACTTGTATTAAAAGCTGTATTTTAAAAAATTAAGGCTACATTTGATTTAAATGGAAACAAGAAAATCCCACTATTGTGGGAATGTTTTATACTTTGTCTTTCAGTAGAATCTTGATGATGAGAGAGAAACTCTTATTAGCCCTTTCTAGTTTTGCTATGCAGTTGAGACCTTCCACATATGGGAACCTGGTAAAGCTTCAAGACGTGGCAGATTTAACAATATGTAAGGGTGTTACTGATGGTATATAGCTGGGTGTGACTAGAACATGAGTCCTTCCTCTTTATTGAATGTTTACAGAAAAGTTCACAGATGCAAAAGATTTTTCTCCTTTAATAAATTGCTTAGATAGGCGGGGCATGGTGGCTCATGGCTATAATCCCAGCACTTTGGGAGGCCAAAGCAGGAAGACTGCTTGAACTTCGGAGTTTTGAGATCAGCCTGCTCAACACGGTGAGATCTTGTCTCTACTAAAGTTCAAAAAAAATTAGCTCAGCATGGTGGTGCACACCAATAGCCCCAGCTACTCGGGGGAACTGAGGCAGGAGGATGGCTTGAGCCCAGGAGGTCGAGGTTGCAGGGAGCCCTGACTGTATGACTGTATCCCCAGCCTGGGCAAAAGAGTGAGACCCTGTCTCAAAAATGAATAAACAAATAATAAATTGCTTAGATAGCTTGACTGTGGCAATCATTTCACAATGTATATGTATATAAAATCATCACACCATACACTGTAAATATATAATTTGTCAATTACACCTCAGTGAAGCTGGGGAAAAAACAAGTAAATTGCTTGGAGCCAAGAAAAAGAGTCTACAAATATTGCTTTATTTAATATTTGAGGAGAGTCTACCATTTGCCAAGCCTTTCTGCAAAAAGATATGGGGAAGAGGATAGAAATAAAATTCCACAAAGAGAAGAAATCATTACTATGCAACCCCAACAGTACACTGAAGAATGTATTTGATTTTAACTTGTTTGTATTCATTAGAAAGAGGGCAGGAGAAGTATAGTACGAACAAATAAATTCTTGATGAAAAAGAATCTCTCCCATTTCTAATACTATCTAAGTTTGAACATACAGCTCAACATCACTAGTAGAGTAATTTCAATCCAATTTTCTCATCCCTGCTTACATTTTAGTTCTTAAAAGCTGTATTGCCTGATACCGCTAATTAAAGGGAGATTATGTTGACTCTTGCTATTCCTTCATACTATGTGTACAATCACACTTTTATGTTTAATTGCATAATTATTTGGTTGGTGACTTTAGAAGTCATGGTGCAGAGACCAACACTATCTTGCTTACTGCTCTATTCCTAATACTCACCTAGCAAAATGCCTAGCACATAATAGGTGCAAAATAAATATCTGGATAATCAATCAATAAGTGAATAGTCTAAGTCCCATATTTCAACCTCAGGAAAATGAAAAGCCAAGACTAATGAGCTTTCTCCCATAGGTCCCTAGCTAGTGCTATCTTAAACTGGAAATGCAACTGGTAGAAAATATTTTAACTACTCTCAGTAAGAAGACTTTCATAACTCTAAGAAACTAACTGCCTATACAAGATGGCATTATCCACCTTCTACTTAAACACTTTCAGAGATGACCAACTCACTGCTTTACAAGACAGCCCTTTTGGGCTTTTGGCAAGTCTAATTCAAGAGTTTTCCATATATCAAGTTGATTGCTATGCAGTGAGTTAGGTAAAAGCAGCCAATCAGTCTCTAGTTTGCAGTTTCAATCCATCTTCAGTAGTTCTGACAAGAAAAGGCAAGGCTTTGTTTGAAAAAAAAAAAAAAAAAAGAGTATCTTAAAAGGAAATTTTACACCAAAGATGTAAACAGTGTCTATGTAGAGTTGTAGTAAAAGGCCTGGAGAAAAAATATATTAAACTTGGACATGGAAATAACAATTGAGCTTCACAGAGTTAAGTGTGAACAAAAAGAAGACCCATCCCCCTTGAGAGAGCCAGGCTGGAGGAGGAGATGCACTAACATGGATAGGCAGACACAAACATTAGCACCAGTATTCACCCCTGAAATGGAGAGGCCCACTGTATAGTTTAGTGGGTACTGATAGAAAACATAGATATAAAAGATACCCACATATGCAAAGGTTGGAAAAATAAAAAAGAGTCTACTATACCTCCAAATACACAAGTCTGCTAGAAATAAGGTTCAACCATGATGTCCCCTTTATTTCTTGGCACTTGCAAATTAAAAATCTATGTCCAGAATGATCAACCATGCAATTCATAAGTCATAATAATTCAGTGTGACAAAGTACCAGACAACCTATCTTTATCCTATGCATGGAAACTCAATGAGGCCCAACTTCTAGTTGACAAACAGAGGCGACCTCCACTTTTTGGAACTAGTATTGCTGGGCTTCAGGTCACAAAAACAGAACACAGAGAGAAGACACATACCAGGATCTTTTCAGTGTTGAGGGAAAGCAAGGAGTCACAGGGTGGTGATCCCTTGGGTTCGCAGTCTGAGTCATGGAAGTTCAAAAAGGATGACTCTGAAAGGCAAGCATTCTTTGTTATTCTCTACACCTTAACGTATGCTCTTAGGTGCTTAACTTTGAACTGGAATCTTAAAAATCCACAAAATCAAAATAAGAACAGGTGTGAACAACACTAAAAGCGGCAACCGGCTGGGCACAGTGCTTCACACCTGTAATTCCAGCAACTCGGGAAGCTAGCTCAAGGCAAGGAATTCAAGACCAGCCTGGGCAACAGCGAAGCAACCAGCCTGGGTCTCAAACAGTGAGACCCTGTCTCTAAAAAATGAAAAACAGAAGTAGCAACCTATATCCTACCTTTATAAGTGGGTAATGTTTTACGGTTTGCAAGTATCTTGCACATCCATTAGTGATGGTCCTCACCACCATTCTCAAATGAGCAAAGGCAGTGAGCTTCCTGGATGGTGAAGTGAGGTTTAAATAGGTTGTAACTTATCTAAAGGCAAAAGGGCAGAAATAGTACCAGTACAATTCTTGTCTCAGGACAAATGTGGAACTAATATTGTTGTTAAGATCCTTCAGTTGAACATCTATGGGGCAGCATTTGCCATAAATTTTAAAAATCACAAAAGGGAGAATAAAGCCAAACCAGAGAGACTTAATGTTAAAAGATACACACTAGGCCAGGCATGGTGGCTTATGCCTGTAATCTCAGACCTTGGCACTTTGCGAAGCCAAGGCAGGTGGACCACAAAGTCAAGAGTTTGAGACCAGCCTGGCCAACATAGCGAAACCCCGTCTCTACTAAAGTACAAACATTAGCCACACGTGGTGGTGGGTGCCTGTAATTCCAGCTACTTGGGAGGCTGAGGCAGGAGAATCGCTTGAACCCGGGAGGCAGAAGTTGCAAGGAGCCAAGACCGTGCCATTGTACTCTAGCCTGGGCAAGAAGAGCAGAACTCTGACTTAAAAAAATATATCTATATCTATGTCTATATCTATCTATCTATCTATCTATATAAATTTATATCTAGATATAGATATATATAGATGAAGGGGGAATAGAGGCAGCAAACCACCTGGTTATGTATGTACCTATGCAACAACCCTGCATGACTTGTACATGTACCCTAGAACCTAAAGTAAAATAAAAATGTAAAAAAAAAGATACACATTATGAGTCCAGTATGCAACATATATAAATAACTCTTACAACCCAATTAAGACAACACAATTTTACAAACAGGCAAAAGACCTGAAACAGGCCATTGAACACATGAAAATTTGTTCAACATCATTACTAATTACTAATTATGAAAATGTAAATCAAACCGCAGTGAGGTACCTCTTCACATACACACTAGAATGGCTATCACCAAAAAGCAGAAAATAACAAGTGGTGGCAAGAATGTAGAAAAATTGGAACCACTGTTCATTCCTGATGGGAATGTAAAATGATACACCAGTTACGGAAAACGATTCCTTGAAAAGTGAATCGGAATTTCCACAATGCAGTAATTCTTCTCCTAGGTATATATCCCCCAAACTGAAAAGGGACTCAAGTAAATATTGCACATACATGTTCACAGTGGCCCTAATCACAGTAGCCAAAAGGCAGAAACCGTCCAGGTGTCCATCAACGATGAATGGATAAACAAATTGTGGTGTATATAGAGTAGAATACTATTCAACCATAAAAAAATGAACTATTGACCCATACTGCAACGTGGAAGAACTTTCAAAACATTAGGCTAAACGAAAGAAGCCAGACACAAAGGGTCACTTATCATATGACTCCGTCTATATGAAATGACCAGAATAGGTGAATCCATAGAGACAGAATGCAGATTGGTGATTGCCAGGGGAGATGGGAAGGAGGGAATAGGGAGCAACTGCTTAATAGGTAAGGGATTTTACTTTGGAGTGGAGAAAACAACTTGGGGTGGTTGCACATGGTGAATGCCACTGAATTGTTTGCTTTAAAATGGTTAATTTTATGTTACTAAAACATCTCACCTTGATAGATTATTGCAAAAAAAGATATGTTCTAATTCAGCAGTCATTAAGGAGCATTAAATTATGTTCAAGGAACCATGTGAGGGAAAGAATAAAGTATAATATCAAAATCAATCTACATCCTCAAAGAACATATAATTTGGCTAAATTCTCACATGTTGTACGTCTTAACAATAAGAAATAAGATATGATATGGCAAAGAAGCCCTGGGATGGTGAACAATTACTGAAGCTGCAATGTTAAATTTCACAAGGCATAAACAGGGTTTAAAAGAATAGATGCAGGCTGGGCGCAGTGACTCATGCCTGTAATCCCAGCACTTTGGGAGGCTGAGGCAGGCCAATCCCTTGAGCCCAGGAGTTTGAGACCAACCTGGGCAACATGACAAAACACCATCTTCAAAAAAGAAAAAATTAGCTGTGTGTGGTGGTACACGTCTGTAGTCCCAGCTACCCAGAGGCTAAGGTGGGAGGATCACCTGAGCCCAGGAGGTTGAAGCTGCAGTAAACCATAATCATGCCACTGCACTCCAATCTGGGTGACAGAGTAAGACCCTGTCTCAAGGGAAAAAAAAAAGAATGGACAGATTTAGACTGGGGCAGAGAAAGGGAAGGGGTATTCCAGGTAGGATGATGAGTGGTACACGCAAAGGTACAAACGCAAGGAAAGGCAAAAGGCAGCGAGGAGACTAGCTAGAGCAGGGAGTTTGTGTTGGAAAACAGAAAGTATGAGTTTGGAAGGTGAGGAGTCAGACTGCAGAAAATCTGATCTGAATCCCAGAGAAAGGCTTTAGTCCCCCAAGAATGAAGGCAATAATGGTTCCTGGCAGATGGGTGGAGAATAATGACTCCATGAAAGATATTTTTGAAACATACACAGTTATAATCTGTTTTTCCTACATTTTCTAAGCTAAGATTTGAGGACTTACTATATGCCAGGCACTGTGCTAAGCAATGTGTATATATGGCCTTATTCTAACGATCCCTCTTCTCTGTGGAATCCATTTCAGTTTCAATAAATATACACCTACATAATTTTAAAAGGCTGCACAGCATTCCATGGTATGGAACTTAACCATACTTTTATCATTGGATACTTGGGATGTCCCTACTTTTTTCTTAATATAAATAGTATTTCAGTAAGTATTCTTGACCTATATTTTTGAAAATGTACCCACTTAGGATAAATGCCAACAAATAAAATTGCCAAGTCAAAGAGTGTACACAATTTTAATATTTTTCCTACACATTGCCTCATTTCCTTCCCAGCATGTAGTAACAATTTCATTCCCACTAGCAGTTTGAGAAGGTCCATTTCCCTCCAGAGTGCTGACATTCTTTTCATCTTTCCCAATCTGAACACATAACTAATAAAGTTAAACTTCTGGCCATTTGTATCTCCTCATTTTATAAACCACTTATATCCTTTGCTCATTCTTTTTTTTTTTTTTTTTTTTTTTGAGACGGAGTTTCGCTCTTGTTACCCAGGCTGGAGTGCAACGGCGCGATCTCGGCTCACCGCAACCTCCGCCTCCCGGGTTCAGGCAATTCTCCTGCCCCAGCCTCCTGAGTCGCTGGGATTACAGGCACGCGCCACCATGCCCAGCTAATTTTTTGTATTTTTAGTAGAGACGGGGTTTCACCATGTTGACCAGGATGGTCTCGATCTCTTGACCTCGTGATCCACCTGCCTCGGCCTCCCACAGTGCTGGGATTACAGGCTTGAGCCACCGCGCCCGGCCCCTTTGCTTATTCTTAAGCCATCTGATCCTATCCCTGTGCTCATTTTTAAGTCATCTGAACCTATCCTGGCATAATATATTGACAAAAATTCCTAATTATCTATTTTCCAAATGGTTAGCCAGTTGTTCTATAATATAGCTGTTAAATTATCAATTTGAATGCCACCTTTATAAAACATTATAGACATTAGGATCTGTTTCTAGACTTCTTTTAAAGGAAATCTTTAAGATTATTTAAATCCAGCAATAGTAACCAAAACAGCATGGTACTGGCATAAAACAGACACACAGGCTAATGGAACAAAATAGAGAACCCAGAAACAAATCCACATGCCTACAGTGAACTCATTTTTGACAAAGGTGCCAAGAACACACGCTGGGGAAGACAGTCCCTTCAATAAATGGTTCTGGGAAAACTGGATATCCGTATGTAAAAGAATGAAACTAGACCCCTATCTCCATATACAAAATGAAATCCAAATGGATTAAAGACTTAAATCTAAGTTTAAGTTTAAATCTAAATCTAAGTTAAATCTAAATCTAAGTTGAATTTCATCTCAAACTACAAAACTACTACAAGAAAACATTGGGGAAACTACAAGAAAATATTCATCCGGGCAAAGATCTCTTGAGCAATACCCACAAACACAGGCAACCAAAGCAATCAAAACATGGGCGAACGATTTGAATACACATTTCTCAAAAGAAGACATACAAAAGGCAAACAGGCATATGAAAAGGTGCTCAACATCACTGATCATCAAAAAATGCAAATCAAAACTATAATAAGAGACCATCTCAACCCTGTTAAAATGGCATATATGCAAAAGACAGGCAACAATAAATGCTGGTGAGGATATGGAGAAAGGGGAACCCTTGTACACTATGGAGGGAATGTAAATTAGCACAACCACAATAGAGAACAATTTGGAGGTTCCTCAAAAAACTAAAAATTGAGCTACCATATGATCCAACAATCCCACTGCTGGGTATATACCCAAAAGACAGGAAATCAGTATATCGACGAGATGTCTGCAATCCTATATTTGCTGCAGCACTGTTTATAATAGCTAGGATTTGTTAGCAACCTAAATGTTCATCAACAGATGAACGGATAAAGAAAATGTGGAGTACTATTCAGCCATAAAACACAATGAGATCCGGTCATTTGCAACAGCATGGAGGGAACTGGAGATCATTATGTGTTGAGTGAAATACCCCAGGCACAGAAAGACAAACTGCATGTTCTCACTTATTTGTGGGATCTAAAAATCAAATCAAATGAATTCACGGACATGGAGAGTGGAAGGATAGTTATCGGAGGCTGGGAAGTATAGCAGGGGAATGGGGTGAGGTGGGGATGGTGAATGGGTACAAAAAACCCCAGAAAGTATGAATAAGACCGACTACTTGATAGCACAATAGGGTGACAACTGTCAATAACAATTTAATTGTATATTTTAAAATAACTTAAAGAATGTAATAGGTTTGTAACTTAAAAGATAAATGCTTGAGAGGATGCATACCCTCCATTCTTCATAATATGCTTATTTCAGATCGCATGTCTGTATCAAAACATCTCATGTATTCCACAAATATATACAACTAATATCTATGTACCAACAAAAATTTTTTCAAGTAAGTTTATAAACTTTTTTAAAGATTTAAGTCCAACTTCAGCAACAGCTCTAACAAATGTTCGTCCAATCACTGCATGGATATTTACATTTTAAAAAATTACAGTAGGATTTAATGCTCATTGTAGAAAATATACACAGAAAATTACAAAACATAAATAAAAATCATTTAGAATAGCATTATTCATTGAGAAAAAATTTGGTATATGTAATAAAAAGTGGTAATTCTGAAATCAGACAGCCTGTATTTGAACTCCTACTCTCTGCCACTACTTCCTAGCTCTCAGCCACTGTAATCTTCAGTTTCACTTGCAAAATAGGGTCAATAATAGTATCAACTTCTCAGGGTGATT